TTCAACATCTAGTGATGGGCTAAATCAAACAGAAAAAAAACAGTGTCATAACTATTCAAAGTTGCTAATATACCTAGTCTAGATTTGATAAATACTTTGGTACCAATGGGTTCGAATTATTTTTTCAAAATTGCAATGTCTCCTGCAACTTATATTCAACGTTGAAAAGAATTTGCTAAGAATACGTTGACGAATACGTTGTTTTCATAATGGCCATTTAACGTTGATTTTTGGTATATCAACGCCTACGACATCGATCAATCTTTAATCAACGTTGATTCAACTACCCCTTGCTGCTTGGGAATGCGTGCAGAAAAAAGCACTTTTCGCACGCTCGTGGAAAAAAAATTCGTCTCCGGCGGCACAGTTTGCCCCCACCTCTATTAACAAATTTATAGAGTTATTCTCCTGCACCCATGGGGAATTTCAAAAGTCGGCGCCTCTGAGGTGAGATAGGTGCGGGTGCCAAACATAGACAATCACCCGGTACTTAAATATGACATTGGCCTCTTTCCATTTTGATGGGAAATGGGAAAGGCGGAGAAAAGCTTGGATGATCTTGGTTAGGTCCTCAATCTGCGGTAGTTTTTTAATGGCCAGGTTGGAGATTTCGTCTATACCAGGGGCTTTTCTGCGCTTGAGACATGCTATGGTCTCCCTCACGCCTTGGGTTATGATGTTTGGAGGCGGCTTCTGGTTGTTCTAGCATGGTGGTGTTTACGTTGCGGTCTTGTAGGGTGTATAATGAAGGATTGTTCCGAAATTGCTCTTCGAGACTATCCGCAAAGGTTTCTGCTTTTATGACTGGATCGGTTATTGAGGTTTTGTTGACCTTAAGGTGAGGTGTGCTTCTCCGTAGTCCTTTTGTGAGGCTCTTTGCAAGTTGGAAAAGGTCCTTCCCAGTTGAAGGGACTGCCTCCAGTTTCTCTTGCCAGGATTCATTGTAGCAGCCGTTAACTTGACTGGATTTTTCTGTTAAGTCGGTTCACTTGATTTCTCAATTAGGGGTCACCAGTGCGGATAGCCAGTCTCCTTAGTCGGTTCCTCTAGCGGATTTCGGTTAGTAGCTCTGGAGGGAGGTTGCGTTTCTGTGTGGTCACCTGAATCGATGTTCGAGCCAGGTTGATAGCTTCGCAGATGTTGCTTGTTAGTGTATCCACAGTAGTGTCTAGCTCATGTGGGGAGTGCGGAGGTTTTCTGTCCAGGTGGTTTTGGAATGTTGTCCAGTTTGTGAAGGTTCTTAGCCTTCTGGATGGGTTTTGGTCGGCTGGGTTGCCGAATTCAACCATGACCGGAAGGTGGTCTGATGTAAGGTGATGAAGGACTTGTGGATGAGTGATAGGGTGGACGTTTTTATGCATGAAAAAGTCCAAAATGCTTGGTCTTCCGTTGCCTATGCGCGAGGGTTCGTCTGGACGCCAGATGTTATAGTCCAGACGCTCAGCATTATCTTGTATCGGGATTCCCCTTTGGTTTTGCATCCCCAGTAGACGTGTTTAGCGTTGAAATCACCTCCCAACAGAACTGGTGGTCGTGGTCGCTGGATAGGAAATCCAGCTGGTCGGCAGTGATTGCGTAGTTTGGCCGGATGTATATGGAGCCGACAACCAGTGTTTAGCCTTGTATTGTTATCGCCACGAAGGTGCCCTCCATCTGATAACTCGGATTTGGGATTTCGTAATGACGGATGTTGGCTTTGACAGCAATTATGGTACCCCCGCCTCTGCCGTCTCTGTCCATTCTGGCGACTATGAAGTTTTGCAGCGTGAATCTGCGCGTCTATTTGCTGTTGTTCTAGAAATGTCTGCAGTTCTAGTTTTCTGGACTTCACGGAGTTGGCGTTCCAGGTCGCTATTTTCAAGAATTTGGCTTTTGGTTGTTCAGCCATGCAGCGTTATGTTCTTGGTGTTTATCATGGCATTCAGCTGTTGCTGAACATTTAAAAACTTAAAATGACAATATATTTTATTCCTTTTATTATATTATTTTTTTCTAGATTGCTTGTTTATGTATTAAAATACAAACATTGATAGATTCCAGAGTTGGTTGCTGTTGATGAGTGACGGTGTGGGCGTCATCTGGCACTGGGTTTACCTGTCCTGCGACTTCTGGGTCTCGACTTTCACTTTGACGTTATTGATGTGTCGGACTTGGTAGATTCCAGTTTCCGAAGCTGGCACTAGGCCAAGTACTAGCGGGACCGGATCGCCGTTGGCTTTGTACCACCTGATAACTGAAGAGGGGTGGAATTGGAGGGCTCCATGCTCATGCTTGACAAAATCAGTGGCTCAGTGTTCCAGGGGGTTTCTGATCACAACTCTTAGTTTCTCATCTTCAAGGAAACTAAAGGAGTGGAAGGGTTCATTGTTGGCTCTAGGAACGATTGGATTTTCCTATAGTAATCGCTTGTTGGTAGGTGGTTTTTACCAAATCTTCAACACACTGTTAATTTCTCATACTATGAGTTTATCTTACGCTGACACGGTCAAATTTATGTAATACGAGCGGTTTTGCTATAATAAAACAATGAAGAAACCCGAATTCTCAACCATTGGGCACTACCACCAATTGCAAAATTTATTTTCAAAAATCAAGATTTTTCTAATTTCTGGCCCAAATGGATCGTTTTCAGTTTTTGCTTTATTTGACTATGGCGAGAGGAAGCCACACGCTATCAAAGATCTATATCTTTCTTACCGTTTGAATCTCCTGCAAAACTGTTTCTCTACTTGTGTGCTTCCCCCTATATTGCACTGATGAGAGCACAACAAGCTCGAAACCGGTCTGAAATTGGTGGTAGTGCCCAATGATTGAGAATTCGGGTTTCTTCATTGTCTTATAATAGCAAAACTGCTCGTATTACATAAATCTGACCGTGTCAGAGTAATACAAACTCATAGTATGAGTAATTAACAGTGCGTTGAAGCTTTGGTAAAAACACTTGTGTTTTCCAAAGAAATTTCAATTTTAATTTATTATTAAGGTTGATGAGCAATGAAAAGTTTTTTCTGGACAATAAAGTAGGTACTTTTTGATTTGATTTAATTTGTGTACCAGATGAGCCCCTTCGGCTTGAGGAAACCTCAAGCCAGTCGTCCCTTGTTTGCATGACGACCTTGTAGGTATTGTCTAGAGGGGGGCTGAAGTTTTTGGTATTGCATCCCTTCTGGTGAGAAGGAGGTCCTGTCATAGTATGAGTCCAGACCCTTGCATGTCTCATGTTCAGCCCTCTATGAACCTATTGACCCTAATCCTTGAGTATGACTGAAGCCTCCCGGGCTCGAGCCTCCATAAGAAGATTTCCAGTATTGCCTTCATTGTCAGCATTGGGGTGGCTCCAATTGTAGCCATGCAGGCAAGTCTTATTGGGGTACTTTGCCTGAAAGCGTAGCACCATCCAATTTTACATGTCATAAAACCCTTATTTATCAAACATAGTGATTCTCGTACAACAGGGTTCTGTGAAATTTAAAAAAAAAACTTTATTTTAGGGGTGAATTTTAGGGGGCTGTAACTTCGAAAAGGGGGGGGGGGGCCTTTACAAATAAGACCCGTTGTTTTTTTTTTAAGAATCTTTGAATAAATTCTGTTGCATCAGCAAATAAGTGGGACTTAATCTTCCGGACAGTCGAAAGCCGTTTATCCATCTGCTCTAAAAATGATAAAAGTTATTTTTCAAATACACGATCGTCAATAACAAATTAAGCATAATAACTTCTATCAAATATGCTGTAGATAACTAATTACGTCAGTCTGTTTCTTTCACCATCACTGACTAATGTTAGATTTAATAATAGACAAAAATGATAAGGCACCTACTTAGCAATAATAAGAGCAGATTCCGGATCTATTGTAAAGTCATAAATTTTTTTGAATTTGAATAGATAAACATGGTAACTATTATTTGTTCAAGGAATCTGGTACTTACTCTTATCGCAAATTAAATAATGTCAGCTGGTATTTTTTGAAACTCTATTTTCGCGAACAACCCTATGAGGTTGTAAACATTATAAAAAATTATTGAATACTTATATCAGGCTCCTGATTTTTTAAGTACCTACCTATAAAGATAAAAAAAATCTACATACCTAATTTATCGACTTCGTCTTTATTTCCGATATCCTCCATTCAATACAAGAAATTCTAATTTATAAATCAACAAAAATTTAATTTGCACAGGGCTAGGATGTTTTTGCATATATTCAAACATTAATTTGGAATTTTCATAATACAAGAATTTTGTCATTTAGAAATAACGTAAAAACCGAAGATAATTACCAAAAATTTAAAATTTTATAATTATTAACTAATCATATTATTCACGGGATAAAAATTAAATAATTGCAAATAATCGCGCCATTAAACAGGGTTAAGGCCTCCGATCGGGTAAGTATAATTTAAGATTAATTATTGAAGCATAATGAACTTTTTCAATTGGTTATGGTTATCAGGTTGATCTGAATATTTAAAAGAACACGTTCCATAAAACTTGATTAAGCACATTTAATCATAGCAATAAAAGGATTATTATTTTCTGTGCCAATTTATTGATAAATCGAGGAATCTTCACTGTGTTGGATTAAAACTGCAAACTATTTCAAACTTGGGTTTTTAAATTGGAAACTGCTACTATTGAATTCATTATCAGAGAATTAACATCGTTTGTAAGATTTGAAAAGTTCCTAGAAGATATACCTAAATAACTAAAAATTCTTTAAGATAAAAATCCTTCTAAAAAATCCATGAACCAAAACAGCAGATTTATCGGTGACCATTATTATAAACTTGACCTAGCAATATAAATATATGGTAAGAACTCGAAATTCTAGCAATTCCCTCCGGTGCTCCTTGCACTACAATTTATTTCACCTTAATTTGCCAAAATTTCTATAAACCCACCTATATAAAATACGATATTTACCTACTTCAAATTAAAAACCAGTCAATATTGTCTTAAACGAATTGCATTGCGCATATCGCACTCGAACCTGTATAATTAGCTTAATCCTATGGGTTGCTTTTGTTCTCGATCACTAGTAAAATAGCTGTGACATTGTGCGGTAAAATTAAGGTGGTTCGTCACTATGGAGTGCGGCGTCGATAATGATTTAAGTCATATCAGGATTGATAGGCCCTATTATGAACACAAACAACTCAGGGAGGATTTTTGTTATGAGAGACCGAAAAAGACAAGTAAGTACCCATGAATATATTATATACTAAAAATTTTTGAGTGAATTAGTAAAGTAATAGCTGAAGAAATTGAATGTATAGTATAGTAAATCAAAGCAACTTTATTGTAGGAAATACAATTTTTCACAAGATTTGAATTCAACATTTCTTGGGACCTCGCCATTAGTTTCTTCTCCATGAAGAGATCCAATTCTTCATGGAGCGTTCTTATATCTTGTCTTCAACTTTCCGTTTCGATTTCTTATCGCATATTGTGGCACAATCCAGCAACCCTGCACAATCTCCATTCTTTTTCCTCATTATTTTTATTCCGTCTTCGTTATTCATGTTCCTGCAGAATTTTCCTATTTTTCTTCTAGTATTCTGTCTTGTTTTAAAATATTTCAATGTAGATTTTTTTACAATAAAACTATTTGGGTTCTTTGGGCCACCCTCAAGAAAATCTTGACAATTTTGCTGTCACCATTTTTTCGGGAAAGCCCTAAAAACCGAAACAATTGTGAAAAAATCTAGATAATTATTGCAACATTCAGAAGCATATTATTTTTCGTACCTACAATCATTGAAAATGTTTCGCAAGTAACCTACCGCTTAGTCAATAAAATTTTTATTACCTTTGGTAGAACACGCAGTTTATTGATTTGAAATATAAGTACTATGTGGTTTGGTTTTATCACCAGAAAACAAATTAATTGAAGTTTAGGTGTGTTCTATAAATAGATTTATTCATGCTTTAGGTTAAAACAGGGTAGAAAAAAGTGAATTAAACTCAAAACGTAACTGATGATTCACCTTTCGTAATGCCATTGTCGATTCAATTCCAAGTTTATTTGTATTGCTAAATCGCAAATTTTCTAAAAGTGAAAAAAACCACCCATTCTGTGAGATCTGATTGATCCAAAGAGTGATACGTGGAACGCTTTATATGAAGAACATTTATGGAAATCGATCTCTGTCAAAGGTTGAGAAGAGGATAATGCAAAAATATTTTTAAATTCAGTCGATTATTTCCGGTGTTTGCCTTTCAGGGAGAGTTCTACTAGAATTATTGAAAATGGATAGACAATTTACCAAATTTCATTTTTCCCGAAGAACTTCGGAAAATGACTGGAGGTCCTGCAAACGGAAAATATACGTCGTTACTTTATACAGGGTGTCACGAAAGGTTTGTTACAAACTTCTAGGGATGGTAGATCTCGTAAAAATAAAACTTTTTTCTTGATAAACATGTGTCCGGAAATGCTTCGTTTTCCAGATATACAGGGTGGCCCAAATTTGAGCCTCATCATTGGGATCTCGGTAACCGTAAGAGATACGGGGTCGGTTAAATTATGGCAAAGTTGCGCAATTTTATGCCCAACAGAATACCGTTTTGAAACTAGAAAGATTCCGAATACTTCCAGAGATATTCGGAAAAAACCAAAATTTTGAAAAATCGTTTTTTTTCCCGGGCTTATTTGAAAAGCAATTTTAAAATAAATGTCACTTCATGATTGTCACTTCTTCCCCTCTAGAAGATGGTGGTACTAAATTTGAAATTCGACGTTTCGTCTTCAGGCGGCCATCCTTAACTTACGTTTTTTAAATACGAACCTAGATTTTTTTATTTGCGATTTTGTCATCTTTGGGCATCCTAAAACCGATACTGTTTATAATTTTTCAATAACACGGTAAAAAAGCAGGTCCGTATTTGAAAAACGTCGGATTTCAAATTTTATACTGCCATTTTGAAAAGAAGAGAAAGTGACAATGGGAATGTGAAATTAGTTTTTCAAAATCTTTTTAAATGAAATCAGGAAAAAATTTAAGAAAAACGAGATTTTTTTTTTCCGTATAGTTTTCATTTTTTCCTGATTTTATTTTTAATTAAAAAGATTGTGGAAAATTCACCTTGCCATTGTCAATTTTTCTTCTCTACAAGATGGCGGTATTAAATTTAAAATCCAATGTTTCGTTCCTCTGAAATCATCATTAATTTTTTTTTTAAATACGGACCTGCTTTTTTTGCTGTGTTATTGAAAAATTATAAACAGTATCGGTTTTAGGATGCGCAAAGATGACAAAATCGCAAATAAAAAATCCAGGTCCGTATTTAAAAAAAGGAAGTTGAGGATGGCCGCCTGAAGACGAAACGTCGAATTTTAAATTTAGTAGCACCATCTTCTAAAGGAGAAAAAGTGACAATGATGAAGTGACATTTATTTTAAAATTTATTTTCAAATAAGCCCGGGAAAAAATAAAAACGATTTTACAAAATTTTGTTTTTTTCCGAATATCTCCGGAAGTATTCGGAATCTTTCTAGTTTCAAAACGGTATTCTATTGGTCACAAAATTGCGCAACTTTGCCATAATTTAACCGACCCCGTATCTCTTACGGTTACCGAGATCCCAATGATGAGGCTCAAATTTGGGCCACCCTGTATATCTGGAAAACGAAGCATTTCCGGACACATGTTTATTAAGAAAAAAGTTTTATTTTTACGAGATCTACTATCCCTAGAAGTTTGTAACAAACCTTTCGTGACACCCTGTATAAGCATTTGGCACACTGAAGGGAGTTTATAGGCGTATAAATTACCTACTTCATCAATAAAAATATCTCATTTATGTATATCAAGCACTAATTTCTTTAGTCAAGAGATTTTTTTTTCTCCAAAAATGTCCCATGCCATTACCATATTCAAAAACGATGTTAGTAGCATAATATTGCATAATTATATTTGAAAAAAATAATAATAATATAATAATTTTTCCATGACAAAATTTTTGTTATAGAACAATTTTATTGTTATAGTAAAATTTTATTTGCTTTCATTATCGTCAAAATTACCACATCATAAACCTCCCGGCAAACAAATTTGTAAAGATAAGAATCTAAAAAATAGAAGCACCAAGTAGAAAGTTGACATGCGGATCCGGGTTCGTTTTTGGCTATAAGCAATACAGTTTGTAATTGTTTGTTGTCCTAAGTCAGCACTCCAGAATTCAAGCACTATCTACCTATATTCGATGAAAATTGATGTGTCTAGATACCTATCTACTTAATTGAAGTGTACCTATAGTAATTTGAATTTGAAAAAATTCAAATATAGGTACATTAGATTCCCTGAAATTTCATAAACAATAAAGGATGTTGCTGCGAAATTCTAGGAATAAGGGCAGATAGGAAATGCCTTAAGAAAATAAAAATGGGAGTTAGTAGGTTAAGGACCTATCAAACATCCTAAACCATGTATCAACAATAATTACAAAGCGAGAAGGTGTAGTAAAGAGGATGCCTATAGCTACAGCACTAAAACTAGCAATGCTTGATTTTTGCTTTGAAGCTACTTATAGAATTATCTCCATTCTGTAGCCGTAAGTTTGAGAGGGTGTCATAGCACTCGCCACTCAGGCCCATTGTGCGCCTCCACAAGAGGAGAGGTCTATTCGATTTTAATTTTGACTTTCTGGTTTCTTTTGGTATCAAATTGTATGCTGTACACCCAAATAACTTTATTTTGTCCAATTTAGGTTTTCTCATAATTCCATTTCTGCAGGTGTCTTATTATATTCCAATGTTCTTGTTTCCGTTCTGTCACCGACCTAAATACGTTCTAGTTCTTACAGCTTCACTCCACAAATAAACTGCTCGCCAAAAAAAACGGGACAAGCAATTTTTAGTACCATATTCAATTTGTAATCACTTTTTTATTTTATTTTTGTTTGTAATGGGGTTTGTGGTATTCGATAGTTCATGTTGTAGATCACGTGAGAGAAAAATATTTTTTTCGAAGAAATGCATTTTCCAAGTTATACAGGGTGAATAATAAATTGATGCAAAAGTACAAAAAGTATGGATGTCCGCCATATTGATAATAATTTTTTTTTCGGATTTCCGTATAGGCCTCAAGTAAGTTTATATCAATATCTCCAGACGTATTTGCCAGTTTTTTGATAAGTGCCTTTTGGCAGCAGATACAATATTAAACAACAAAGTTGGCAAAATCTTGTAAGCACAATGTTTAAAGGGCTGTATCTTGAAAACGGTTGCATTGATTGTAAAAAGCTTGGCAGGTTTCGAAAGCCCCTTTTTTTTAGAGGTTCCACGACTCACTTGCTTTTTTTGCAGATGGCCCTGTTTACATTATACAGGGGTCGAGAAAAACGTACACCTCAAATTAGGCAAATTATGATAATTGTTCTTTCAAATCTACACAAATTGATCTGTATGCCTTTTGTTTTCTTTGAAAATTGGTTAGGTGATACTTTCGGCCAACATATCGGAACGTTTTTTTCATTTTTTGCATTAGAGTTTCCTGAAGAGCAATTTTAGTACTACAATGTTGGAACGATGTGGCTTACGGTTTAATGGATTGTGAAACGTTTTCCCACTGTGAAAGCTCATTTTATGAAAATTATTTGGCTATTTTATTTTTGGAAACTTGAATTTTATCATTATAGAGGGGTTGTGAAAAAGTAAACGTGAATTTGCTAAAAATTCTCAAACGGCTGTAGTTTGAAAACAATTTTGGAAGAATGTATGAAAGTTAACTCTCTTATTTTTTTAATGTTTTGTTAAAGTTTTGCATCACAAAGGGATAATTAATCGGCAATTTTTGGAAATTACATTTTTCTCATTATACAGGGTTTGCGATTGTTGCGAAAAACTAAACGGGAGTTTGCTAAAAATTCTCAAGCAGCTGTTGCGTGAAACCGATTTTGGGAGCTCATTTTATGAAAGTTAACTCTCTAATTTTTTTAATGAAAACTTCGCAATATACAGGGATTAGCGCAAAGTGAGCTTAAGTTTGTGAAAATTGATTGAGCGGCGGTAACTTGAGAACGATTTTGGAAACTCATCAGTTTCTCTCGTTTTTCACGACCTGGCTTGATTTTTTTTGCATGATATACCCTTTTAGTATACACAGGTGAAGCATAAAAACGAAATTGAAATTGCCCAAAAATGGTTAGTACTGGTGGTTTCAAAATTATGCGAATTGACTTGTTTTCCAAACTTGCTGTTCAAACGTCGAAACGGTGATTTTACTTCGTCGATTAGTTATTTTTGGCTACAGATACGCTAGTTTTCCAATATTGTTTGTAATTGAATAGCATTTTTTTGTAAGTTACAGCCGTTCAAGCATTTTTAGCAAACCTAAATTTACTTTTCGGTAATCCCTGTATAATGCGAAGTATTCCATTAAATATAAGAGTCATAAAATGAGCTTCCAAAATCGTTTCCACGCTACAGCTGTTTGAGAATTTCTATCAAACTCATGTTTAGTTTTTCGCAATCCCTGTATAATGAGAAAATTTTAATTTCCTAAAATAGCCGATTAATTCTCCCTGTATGATACAAAGTTTTTCGTTAAAAAAATAACAGAGTTAACTTTCATAAAATAAAGCTTCCAAAATCGTTTCCATGCTATAGGCGTTTGAGAATTTTTAACAAACTCATGTTTACTTTTTCGTAAGCCCTGTATAATGTCAAAATTTAAATTTGGAAAAAAAACCGATTAATTTTCATAAAATGAGCTTTTATAGTGGGAAAACGTTTCACAATCCATTAAAACGTAAGCCACATCGTTCCAACATTGTGGTGCAAAAATGGCTCTTCAGGAAACTCTAATGCAAAAAATGAAAAAATTGTTTCGATATATTGACCCAAAGTATCATCTAACCAATTTTCACAGAAAACAAAAGGCATACAGATCAATTTTTAGAGGTTTGAAAGAGCAATTATTATAATTTGCCTAATTTGAGGTGTACGTTTTTCTCGACCCCTGTATAATGTAAACAGGGCCATCTGCAAAAAAAGCAAGTGAGTCGTGGAACCTCTAAAAAAAGGGGCTTTCGAAACCTGCCAAGCTCTTTACAATCAATGCAACCGTTTTCCAGATACAGCCCTTTAAACATTGTGCTTACAAGATTTTGCCAACTTTGTTGTTTAATATTGTATCTGCTGCCAAAAGGCACTTATCAAAAAACTGGCAAATACGTCTGGAGATATTGATATAAACTTACTTGAGGCCTATACGGAAATCCGAAAAAAAAATTATTATCAATATGGCGGACATCCATACTTTTTGTACTTTTGCATCAATTTATTATTCACCCTGTATAACTTGGAAAATGCATTTCTTCGAAAAAAATATTTTTCTCTCACGTGATCTACAACATGGACTATCGAATACCACAAACCGCATTAAAAACAAAAATAAAATAAAAAAGTTATTACAAATTGAATATGGTGCTAAAAATTGCTTGTCCCGTTTTTTTTGGCGAGCAGTTTATTTATCCAATGTTGAATCAAACTCCGAGCTTTGTCCTATTGAAACGTTCTGCTACTCCATTCTGCTCTAGATTATAAGCTACCGTATATTGTATTCTTATGCCCTTTTCTTGACAAAAATCTTTAAAAGCATGTGATGTGTATTCACCCCCAATTTCGCACCTTAATTTCTCTATTCTTAAATTAAATTTAGTTTCAACAATATAACGACTTAATTTTTAAACTTTGATAAGGCCTCACTCTTATTGCTCACCAAGAAAATTCCACAAAAGTGTGAGAAATGGTCAATAAAATATAATTTACTGTCATATGTTGTTGGTGATATTGGCCCACAAATATCAGTAGACATGGTTTCCAAGATTCTATTGGCTTTTCTTTCCTAGGGAATATCTACAAATGTCAATCTGGTTTGTTTTGACTTGACACAAACTTCACACAAACATGGAGTTTGGTATTTTGCTGAAGGTCCCATTGTTCTATGCAACAACATTTTATCTCAACTTGTCAAATTTACTGTATGCTTATATTGATTTAATTCAAAATGTATGTAATAATATAAATTTCCTTTCAACACTCCTTCAAGTATTGTAACTCTAAATTTGATAATTGTCACCCTTTTATTAAAAAACATTTAGTCAAAGCCATTTTTCTTACAGATAATAAATTATAGAGTAAATTGTCACATACCTACCCAAACATCTTTCACAGTTATATGTTTACCAATTTCGGTTTGTAATTTTAAAATCCCCTTAGTTGTTGCTGTGATTGTTTAGCCACATTTATCTTATGAAATACATTATTACTTTCCTGAATGTATTTTTCAAATTTTTTTGTGATTAAATGATTTGTCGCTCCATCGTCAACAACAAAACACATATCACTACCAGTGTTACATGACAAGGCATTTTCCAAGAATCCACTCTAAGTAACATGAGAAGTTGCCAAGTAAATTCCAGGATTATTGTAATTAGGTACCTCTATATTTATTCCAGGCTTTTTTCATCCACTTCTTCTGTTATACTTTGACAGAAAAACAGTATATTTGTTCCTTCTTCATATTTTTTCTTCAATTGTCGGGCTTTCTCCATTAGAAGTTTGTTTTTCACAAAACTTATGTCCACTGCACTTTGATCCTGGCAAAACATGATGCCTATTGCTATTGTTACATTATGAAAACGCTCTGGCATAGCAGATAACAACTTTAAAATCACTTCATTATTGTCTATATTCCCTCCTGCAGCCTTTTATTTACTCACAGTGATATCAAAATATCTGTGAAAAAAATATGCAACTGTGTACTTTGAACTTCGTAGTTCTTTCTGAAACATAACTTGATTTAATATACCTCTTTTTGTGTAGGTACTTTCCAAAGTGTCCATCATTTCTTTGGCATTAGTTTTCAGTTTTACAGGATCAAGTATATTATCTGCCAAACTTTGTACATGAACATATTTGCCTAGATATCATTTTTTTTTTTAGTTAGCTATGCAGGTAGCCTGTTGAGCATCCGAGGATTCAGGCATTGGAGTAGTTAAAACATCCAAAACTCCCTTTTGTTCCAATAACAATTTAATTCTAAATTTCCAATCGGCAAACCCGCTTCCATTAAATGGTTTTACATAGTATAAATTCTATTTCTCAGTCATTTTTTATTTCAAATTTTCTTTTTGTTTTCCCTTTTCTACGATTCTTTTGGAAAGTATTTGTCAAAGGCCCCTTCAATGCCTATGAATACCCCGAGGGTGGCTATTGTCTATTGTATTATCTCCTAAATCATTCATCAATAATTACCAGAATCGGCACTTAGGTCCCTACCCAATTAAAGAGTATCTTAAGGTATTGTACATTATTCTTAGATAATGTCTATTAAAATTGTCATTTTAGATGGCATTAATTTGAAAATCAATTTTTAGATGCAGCAAAAGAATGGTCACAAGGTTTCAGAATGAAAAAAGCCTTAATGGGTGCAATACCCATATTAGATTGGTTGCCCAAATATAGTTGGAAAAGGGATTTCGTTAAGGACATAATTTCCGGATTTACAGTCGCTGTTATGCATATCCCACAAGGTAAGCCAAATTTAGAAGAATTTCGAATTTCAATAATAGGTACCGCATAAGCGATTAGTAATTATGTTGACAATGACAATAGACAAATATGGTAAACATTTTTGTTGAAAATTTTCCAAGTTACACTAAATTAATACAAAATAAAATAAATCAATTAATCCTAAAGACCCAATTTAGCAGATTTTCTCATTATTTAACAACAACCACAAAATAAAATTAACTTATTTCCCTTATCTTTTAATTAGTTTACCGGTAATGACCGAATTTTAAAAGGTTTGGTTTTTTTCTTAGTATCTTTTATAGAAGACCAAATCACCTTCCCATAAATCAACTATTTTTCCAGGTATGGCGTACGCAATATTAGGAAACGTCCCTGCAGTGGTCGGTTTGTACATGGCCTTTTTTCCGGTATTGGTTTACTTCATTTTTGGAACCTCCAGACATAATTCAATGGGTGAATAGTTTCCTATAACTCAAAAAAGCAATATTTCAATTTACCGTTTTTCAAGGCACATTTTCCATAGCTTGTCTAATGACAGGCAAAGCGGTAGTACAATACAGCGACCCAGCTTACTTCCCAAGTACAAGTACTAGTGGTGACAATTCTACTGCTTTGGAACCTACAGGACTAGCTCCTATTCAAGTAGCTACAGCTGTAACTTTTGTTGTTGCAATTATTCAGGTACACATTGATTGAAATTGTCGTTTTCAACGACGAAAAACTGAAGATAAGAAAATTTTGGCTTTTACATGTTTTGACAGCATTTGAATTACAGAAGACCATTAAAGATGTCAGAAGTTTGTTCTGTGCTAAAAACCCTAATGTTTTCTTGTTTCAGATTGCCATGTACCTTCTCAGATTAGGTGCGGTCAGTGCTCTGCTTTCAGAAACCCTTGTCAGTGGTTTCACAACAGGGGCAGCTATCCAAGTATTGATTTCGCAAATCAAGGACTTACTGGGCCTGAGCATTCCGAAGTTCAAAGGCAATTTTTCGGCTGTTTATGTAAGTTAATTTTTTATCCACAAATCAGATTAAAGTGAAGCCCAAAAATGTGAGGAAGCGTTTCTTCGACTCACACAAGATAAATCGAAGAAGTTATTCTTAGACTAATCAACTTCCCTAATTTCAGACCGTTATTGCTTGTTTTGAAGCTTTAGGAAACCTCAACTTGGCAGCCTTAATAATATCGTTTATAACTATTACAATATCAGCAATTAACAACGACTATTTTAAGGTATGTCCTAATTATTAATACTTAATTTGTCTTAATTTTTGTTATTTTTTATATTCAGCCACTTCTATCTAGAATTTGTCCTATCGGTTTTCCAATGGAATTGGTAGCTGTGGTGGTAGGCTCTGTTGTGTCAAGGTATTTCCAATTAGAGGAAAAGTATGGCGTGAGGGTTGTTGGAGACATACCAGTAGGGTAAGATAAACAATAAATATTTTGTCTAACAAACAATGGATGCTATTTTAGACTCCCTGTGCCCACACTACCGATATTTGACATCATGCCTAGCCTGATAGTTGATGGTATTACAATAGCTATTGTATCATATACCATAAACCTATCCATGGCGTTTATTTTCGCTCAAAAGCTGGACTATGAAGTAGACGCCAACCAAGAGCTTCTTGCCATGGTAAATTTTTTAAAAAAACATGTATTTTTTTTAAAATGATTTTCCTAGGGTCTAAGCAATGTTTTTGGATCATTCTTTTCATGCATGCCAGTTTGTGCCTCCCTATCCAGATCTCTAATCCAACAAGTCGTTGGCGGCGTAACCCAAATAGCCTCAGTTGTATCCAGCCTAATTTTGCTAGTGATTTTATTATGGATTGGGCCGTTTTTTGAGTCTCTTCCAAAAGTAAATACCTACCAAGACTAATTTTGTGATTATTACACATTTTTTAAAATTTTAGGCGGTCTTAGCAAGTGTCATAGTAGTGGCTCTCAAGGGTATGTTTATGCAAGCCTTGGACGTCTGGAAATTTTGGAAACTGAGCAAAATCGATGCGCTGGTATGGATGGGCACGTTCCTTACGACGTGTTCTGTTGGTGTCGATATTGGACTGTTCTGCGGCATTGCTCTTTCACTAGGATCAGTATTTCTACTCAGTTTCAGACCACATACGTGTCTTCTTGGTAGAGTACCAAACACAGACTTTTATTTGGATTTGACCAGATATAAAGCGGTAAGAAATACAAACATGTATGATGTATGCATAAACGAGTTACTAATAAACTCTTTTTCATAAACATTTCAAGGCAAAAGAAATTGATGGTGTTAAAATCTTTCACTTTTCTGGAGGCATTAATTTTGCTACAAAGTCAATGTTCAAAGCAGATCTTATACGTCTTGTTGGAATAAACCCTCAAAAGGAAGTCGTCTATAGAACAAAGCTTGCTAAATATTTAGGAAAGGTATGTATGGCCATTACCCTTATTATATTCACTCTAAAAATAATTTAAGATTGAAGTAAAGCAAGAAAAATCTGTAAATTTATCCAACAAACTTCAAAAAGTTCAAGGCAAAGTGAACACTCAACTAAGATGTCTTATACTGGACTTTTCTGCAGTTAGCCATATTGATCCCTCGGGCGTATCGATGATAAAGTCAATTAGCGAAAGCTTTACAAAGTTAGATATTCCTGTATATCTAGCTAGCTGTAGAGGTAACAATTTGCAACTATTCATTATTTAGAATTTTAATGTGATGATTTTTCAGAGCCCATCTACGAAATGATAATGAAAGTTTATCCAGAAAATAATATAAAATCTGGATTTAGAACCTATCCCACGGTTCACGATGCTGTACATTATCTTACGGAATTGTTCGAGACGAGTAGTAACTCGACCATATCTACAATAAGATTATAGCACCTAGTATTGTTTTATTTAAGCGTATCAGCGATATGATGCTTGTTTGTAAATAATGTAAATAAAAATGGAATTAATTTAAGTAAAAGTTTTTATTGGGTTTTTTTCCTAGAGAATTGCTGAAATAATTCCTCTTTTTCATTTGTGCGCAAGGCCCCCATTCACTGATGGGCGATTTTGCTGCAACCAAGTTGATCGATAAAATTACTTCTAAATTTCTTGGAAATTGGGTTGCTCTAGAACGGACCATTTATTAGGCGACATCTAAGCAATTTGGTTGTCAATCTCTCTGGAAATTAATTTCAATTGCTATTTTTTTAGGGCTTGGTTATAATAAAACTAGTTGAGCAGCAATTGCCAGCAATTTAAAGAGGTTGCACGAGGATCGCCCAATCAGTAGACGTCGTCAACCTCTTTAAATTGCTGGCAATCGCAACCCGATTCACCTTCCGCTCTGTAAATCAAAAGATTGCTTGGCAACCACAATATCGCTTCCAATTTGATTGAAATGGCGCACTAACCTGAAAATCTTTCGGCAATTTGATCGAAAGCGACTAGATCGCTCGATCGGATTGTTGGTTTATCGCCCAGTGAATGGGGATCTTTAAAAAAAAAAGACAAATAATGCAATCAGCCAAAGGGCGTGCGGAAAAGTCTGCACTACGTTGAAATTTTTTTCTGAAAATCGGCTTTCGTCGACATTGACTTCTGCCTGCATGATCCAAAACCATAAAAAAAGCTAATAATTTTGACGGCTGTTACCAGCAGCTGTTGAACGGCATTTGGTTTTTACAGATTGTTAAAATTGCAAAGATGCCAAGTTAAAAACTATCTGTATCTGGAATGCGTGCGGTCCTGTTGACTTCTGTCAAATCATATTGATCAATTGGTTTCCAAATTCACAGTGTGCATCACGCCTAAACCCATAAATTGATTTGATGCGCTGTAAACCTAAATCTGACAGCTGTTCCTTTAGCCTTTTCGACACACCCTGTATACAACTGAGTTATCTCTAAAAGTAAGTATCAACTGAAATCCTCGTGGCCAGACATTTGTTTGCACCCGTAATTCATTTATTTCGAAAAAATGTCTGCACGCATACAATAAAACAACAAAAGCTGAATAGGTCCTTTTACAGGCAAAATCTCAATGATGCAGACCAATTATGACCTTAATTAGCAAAAGATGCTTAAATTTCCATTTCCTAGATACGCGTTTGCGGCAAACAAAGAAAAATTCTGCGAAAAGCATTAGTAGATAGGCAATTAAAAATTGTAACTATAATCACCCAGAGGCGTATGCAAGAATTTCTGTTTAAACAAAAAAATAATGTTAAATTTTTTTTCTGATTAGAATTCATTGTCCAAGATTCGTTACGGACACTCCGTTATCTATCTACCAATTATAAATACCTAATTATTGTCGTGAGTTGCAGAACTACTATAGTAAGACATTAATATCAAACCGAATTTACTATTGCGTGTAGGAAGTTCTTGTCACATTTCTACGGCACTGGATTCGGTTGATACACTATCGTTGTCCCGATAATGAGATGGGTATAATAAGGTCGTAACCCGGTACGATTAAAAGCCCCCCAGATATTGTTATTAATCTGACCTTTCGTCAGTGGAATTAAAATCAACCATTAACTCCAGTCTCAGCTAGTGTTTCGGCTAGTTAGGTGCGTCAAAAGTACGGGTAATTCAATAGTGACTATACCGATTCCAGGATGCTGTGGAAGATTTTCGGCTTTTTCCTAATTTTAGGTAAGAATTACTTGACTGGTTTTAGTTATATTTGAAGATGTAAAGGACGTTAGTATACCTAAAAGTCTCCAATAGAATTTTTGATGGAAAGCAAGAATGTGAAGACATTTATTGAGATATCTTTTGCTAAAATTATAAAAACTTACACATATTTTTTTCAGTCGGAAGTTTCTTAATATTAACCAAAACATTTGCTGTAAAAACGTGTTGAATGTGGACTTCTTTGAAATGCCTACAAAAACTTCCCACAGAATTCGTTTCTCATTCAATTTAGAAGTTACTGGAAACTATCTAGAAATCGACACTTGAAATTCAATTCAGAATTCCCAAAAGCATTCTGTAACGCTTCAGAACATTATGAAAACTTTAGAACCATTTTAGAATGCCCCAAAACATTTAATAAACGATTTACAATTTCCAAAAGCATTTTGTAAAAATTCAGAAGGTTGGAACCTATTTCAGGACACTCAAACACTCTAAAATCTTCAGAAACATTATGAAAAGCGCTAGAATCTTATGATTCTGGTTGAAAGTTACAAAGCGCCTTTCAGAAGTCTTTTAGAACGAAGTTGGATTGCTGTAGAACTTTAGACCTTCAGTAAGCATCCAAAACACTTCAAATCCAAATCAGAATTTTCAGGAGCATTTTGGAACAATTTAGGAACTTCAGAGTTATTTCAGAACAATTATGATTCAATTTAGAACTGGAAACCTTTTAGAACTCTTTTGTACCAATTTAGAACTTTGGAGCTTCAATTAATAGAGCTCTAAAATGATTAAAAATCTTTCAGAACAATTCACAAATTACTAAAAAACGTCTAAAATGATCCAGAACTCTTCAATCCAAGTTAGAACACTTTAGAACTTCAATAAGCCAGAATTATTTCAGAGAGCCTGGGGCCTGGAATAGATAAAAATTGAGTTATAGAATGAGTAATAATAAGGAAATATTACCAAGAAAATGTTTTTCTTTCAATTTAAATTCTTGAGTTTCATACTTTTTCCTATTTCAGGCTCTTGATTTTTCCTTATTTCCTCATTCTAAACTCTCAATTTTCCTTGGACTCTTGAATTTTTTCATTCCAAGTTCTTGTATTCTCATGCATTATTTCCGTATTTTAGAATTCCAGGCTCTTGATTTGTTTTTCAATTTTCACTCCTGGCCCTTCAAATGTTTTTCTACCAAAAAGAATTTTGTGTATGTTTTCGTTTAAAAGAAATCAAGAACTTAGAAGCCTAAAGTTTGGAATAGACAAAAATTGAAAGTTATAGAATGAATAATAATAATGAAATTAGTCCTGAAGACGTCTTTAGGCACGTTGGGTTTTGTATTATTCGACGTCTTTAAGACGCCCTGAACACGTAAGCAGACGTCTAAAACACTTGACTTTTGTGATTTTATTACCAATCGGTTTACTGTTTAGGGTAAAGACTGGAGAAAATAATATGGACTTTATATCTACAGAAATATTCAAGTAAGTAAGTTATATACCATTTCCAGCATTATTTCACACTAGTGAAATTTGATTTCAAATTAATGAAAACTAAATTCCCATCAGTAAATCTAATTTCGCTCAAATGAAAATTGATTTCAAAGTAACGAAAACTAATTTCTCACAAACGAAATTTGATTTCTCATTTTTGAAAATGAATTTCAAACTGACCCTAATTAATAGTAATTTTTCAAACATTTATTATTTTAATTTGAAAAAAACATCAACAAATGTTATTTATTTCACCCTAATGAAATAAACCCACTGAGTTCACATAACTTCACATAACATAAAATACAATGAAGGGAGTGATTTGTCGGTTAGGACAAAAAAAGAACATAAAAGGCCTGTCAAGTCCTTGCCAACGTTTTGCCCAAAAGTTTAGGGTTTCATCAGGGCTAAAATATATATTAGGAACATCAAAAAATTGCTAACAAAAAACTGAAGTTTACATGCCTTATGTGGCTAAAATTATATAAAATAGTGCGAGATTTTTCAGGATGGAACATTCAATTGCACATAACAAAATCACAATTCATTGATAAACTTGTAAAAAGATAAATATTTTATAATTTTTTTTATCCTAACCGACGAATCACCCCCTTCATTGGATACCGATAGGACACGAACTTCACTTATATAAAATACAATCATGAAACAATTAACAATAATAATTATGGATTATTTAAATAAATTGAACTTCAGTTGAATCTTCTCACTCTTGAGATAGCTGCATTATACCTTTCCACGTGATTTGCTAAACTGAAGTTTAATTTATTTAAATAAATCATAATTATTATTATTGTTTCATGATTGTATTTTATGTTATCCAAACCACAGTTTTCTAAACTCAGTGGGATTATTTCAATAGGTTGAAATAAATAACGTTGTTGATTTTTTTTTTTAAATTCAAATAATAAATATTTGAAAAATAAGTATTAGTTAGGATCAGTTTGAAATTCATTTTCAAAAATGTGAAATCAAATTTCGTTTGTGAGAAATTAGTTTTCGTTATTTTGAAATCAATCTTCATTTGAGCGAAATTAGATTTCACTGATGTGAATTTAGTTTTCATGAGTTTGAAATCAAATTTCACTAGTGTGAAATAATCCTGGAAATGGTATAGAAGCAGTTTAATGAAAAATTTTACAAATTTCATCAAAAATACTAATACCTACTAGGAATTTGGTAATTTTTTCTTTTGATGATAAAATTATTTTTAAATTAGAAACAAAAAAAGAATAATCAACTATCGAACATCATATCGAGCAAGTATCTTTGTTCAGTTAGGATAACGATATTCGCTTTTGCATTTTTCTTTCATATCTCTTCTTTAGTTCATGAGCTTTTTCGTATTTTGGCTCAATTTTTCTGCTCCAGTTTTGACTGTTATCCAGTGATCCTTTTGAGATTCTCTTAAAATATTGTCGGTTTGCACAATACTAAATTTGTTCAAATTGATCTCGTCTTTCCTCACAGATGTTCTTAGTTTCCTATCGTTCACTGGTTATTTCCTCTAGATATTTTGTCTTTGAGTTGTGTACATTTTGTATTTTATTCGATATTATTTTTGCACTCCTTTGATGTTAATCCTAATTTAGGCCCTAACTATCTTCTTCTTGTCTTATAGTTAAATTCGTATGTAATTGCGGATGACTTGACCAATCAAATAATTATAATATTTATTGACTATTTATTTTAATTATTATGTCACCTGAGCCTAAATATAACTCAATACCTATCTTAGAAATAAAGCTTAAAAATAAACATCAAAGTTGTGGCGCCATCTAGTAATGAGGGGATAACAAGACCAGCCGAGCAAAGCTGATTTCCACGGCAGGCAGAATAGTTTTTCAAAAAATATATTTAGGTTTAATAAATTTCCTCAACAGATGGTGGTTTTCTAGGCTTCTTATTTTTCTTCATATATCAAAAAATTCACTTCCCAAACAGTAGCAACCGTTATTGTACGGTTTCAGGGCACTATGGCCCTTATGAGTTGAGAATATCGAATTTGCTTCAAATTGAGTTAATTTTTTTTTGTGAAGATTTTCGATAGACTTAACACATTCATCTTTTGACAGGTGATTGATACTTTCTTTATCAACAGTGTCCATTTCTTTTAAAAATTGGTTTTAGTGCACTCATGGCCCTTATGAGTTGAAAATATCGATAAACTTGCTTCAAATTGAGTTTTTATTTTTTTACTGATGATTTTCGATAGGGTTCCACAGTCATCTTTCGACAATTGAATAATACTTTCTTTATCAACATCGATACTTTCTGTATCAATTAATTGACTTTATACAAAATTCATTTATCACTTATCGAAACACATACAACAAATATCGAATCTTTAAAGGAATGTGTTATTGATTGCATCTTTCATTATTTTCCTAACTTATTTGCTTATATGTTGCTTAGTCGCATACCAATTGAGTTGGCGATAAGGGATATTATCAATATAGAAAAATTAAAACTATTATTGTAGGTAGGTATACCTTATTAGGCCAAGCAATGAAGGAAGTTTACCTCAACATAATTAGAAGTTAACATTTTTTGGGGAGGATCGGTTCATTTTCATGCGCTCAATAACATATTAAGTTTGCGAACTTGTACTTCCATAGGGTTTTTAGTTAGGGGTGGTTTTTAGGGGTAATTTGCGGTTTATGGAGAACGCTGCTCAAAGGGATGGTCCAATAGCAAAAAGTTCCAAATGATTGTTGTAGCTGAAGCTTTTTGCTATCAAAAACTCAGCGACAGCACCTTTCTATCTTCTATAGTTTTTTTTCTGCAGCGTCTTGAATACTAGCATGTTTTAATTCAAGGTCACTGAATCAACGTTTCACCTGTTTGCGTGCATTTGATGCAGCAGCGGCCAAATGCATAATCCGATTTCATAATTTTTCAAACACCATATTATTGCTAATGAAATGCACCCTCGAATGCTTTTTTGTTCGAATTTTTTGCTTGAAAATTAAGCCAGCACGGACTTGCCTAATGTTCGAGGCAGTTGTAAATTGCATCGAAAACTACCCCTTTCTTGCATTCACTGTAATTTCTAAACGGGACCAAATATTTGGTGACAGTTTTCGACAATCGGCAGCCCAGTTATTCCTCTCATATTGCCCCAGCGGATTTTTTTTTTCGGTAATTACTCAATGACTTATTGGCCTGAACACGTCGCGCGGAATGTTTCAAAAAGTCAAAAAAATTAAAATTGTCGCACAGCGTGGCTTTATTTATTGTTTTTATGAATATACTGCAATTTTAATTGCTTCACATGACTGCTGCAACAATTAGAATTGCAGTATATCCATGAGAACAATAAATAAAGCCATCGACCTAATTTCAGCGCTGTGCGACAGTTTTTTTTTTTTTTTTTGATTTTTTGAAAAATTCCGCGTGACGTGTTCAGGCGAATAAGTCATTGAGTAATTAACGAAAAAAAAATCCGCTGTGGCAATATGAGAGGAATAAATGGGCTGCCGATTGTCGAAAACTGTCACTAAATATTTGGCCCCGTTTAGAAATTACAGTGAATGCAAGAAAGGGGTAGTTTTCGATGCAATTTACAAATTCCTCGCACATTAGGCAAGTACGTGCTCGCTTAATTTTCAAGTAAAAAATTCGAACAAAAAAGCATTCGAGAGTGCATTTTATTAGCAATAATGTGGTATTTGAAAAATTGAAATCGGATTATGCATTTGGCTGCTGCTGCATCAAATGCGCGCCAACAGGTGAAACGTTGATTCAGTGACATTGAATAAAAACATGCTAGTATTCAAGACGCTGCAGAAAAAAAACTATAGAAGAGAGAAGGGTGCTGTCGTTGAGTTTTTTGTAGCAAAAAATTTCAGCTACAACAACCATTTGAAGCTTTTTGGTATTGGACCATCCCTTTGAGCAGCGTTCTCCATAAACCGCCAATTACCCCTAAAAACCACCCCTAACTAAAAACCCTATGGAAGTACAAGGTCGCAAACTTAATATGTTATTAAGCACATGAAAATGAACCGATCCCCCCCAAAAAATTTTAACTTCTAATTATGTTGAGGTAAACCCACTTTTCAGATCCCCGTTTCTTGGACTATATTAGATATTGATGAGCATGCAACTTTTGCTAGCAATATAAATGCAAGCTCCTCTGAAGCGGCAAAGTAAATACAACTTAAATAAATATTATATTTATGTAAATAAAAATAATCAATAAAGCGCAAATAACTACCTATTATTGAAAAACAATATTATTGATTTATATCTGATCTTTAATCTAAAATTTTATTGTTTAATATGTATGTATGGCATAAATCACTAAAACGATAAATTCGAGTGACCTTAAAGCAATAGAAGATACGAAATTAACATTAATTTATAAAAAAAAAATTATAATTAAAACAACTTTTCAGGAACATGTTTGGCTGAAATAGAACTACCAAATCATCCAACAAATTTGGACGAGGTTCCAGCAATCAAGCAGAGATGCGAAGAAAAGGGAAAGACTGATACTTATGACAGATTAAAGGTAACTAATTTCAATAGTTAAACTTCCATTTAATTTTAATTTTAAAAAATCAAGGTCGCCATAAACGAAACCAGAAAATGCCTGGAAACCAAAATCGACCCGACCAAAGTCAAAGATGAATTAGAAGAAGCAAAGAAAACTGGTTCTATGGATGAAGTATTTAGCAAGTACTGCAACAAGAGATCAGAATATAAAGAATGTATTTTGAAAACTGTAAATGTAACCAAAGAATGCATGGATGAGTCTGAAAGTAATGCTGTGGATACTGTTATAAGGGTTATTGAAGAAATTGGCGACTTTGCTTGTTATAGAGACGGAGATAGACTTGCAAGTAAGTTTTTTTTTTAAAGAATATTCTGAACAAGTTAGTTATGTAATTTCTTGCATTTCAGTGTTTATAGCTGAAGGCGGTTCCGAATGCGTCAGCTCTCGTAGCGAACAAATTAAAACTTGCATTAATGAAACTTTAAAAATTGACACAAGCAGCATCAGTTTCACTTCCCTTCCCACCAACCTTCCCAATTGGAAAATTGACAAAAAGAAATGCGAGTGAGTAATTTGAAAATCCTATGAGTTAAACCAAATTTAATATCTATTTTGTTTTTTTAGCGACCTTAAAACGATCCAGGATTGCGTAGTGACAGATCTAGAAAAGAATTGCAAGGATACTACTCCTGCAAATATTATAGACGCTCTCTTCAAATTCGTCAAGAAGACAACTTGTAAGAACATCAAGAAACGAAGTATGTTGGATGCTTTATTTTAATCTCTTCATCTTTTACCTTCCTTAAGCTGTACTTTTTAAAATACTTAATATAAAATTTATTGCACTGGGTGTTTTATTTATGAAGGAAGGGTTCGTACGTTACTGTACTAGCTAAAAATTTCTGTTATGCCAATTTATTTTCCATATGCACTTGCATGAAAGAAATTTGTTTCCTATAAAAGGTAAGTACTCATTTTTTTTTTTGGTGTATTTTAGATACACATCATTGGAAAATAAAAAGGGATCTGAATATACACGCGATCAGAATGATAAATTCATCAGCGATTCATCAGAGGTTTGCTGAGGAATGTAAAAAAAATGGTGGCGAAGAAGCTTATGATCAATTTTGGGTAAGAAAAGCTCAGTTATAGAAAAATGTTCCTTATTATTTATTCTTTCCAGAATGCTCTACACAATTCCCAGTCCTGCTTTGAGCATAACCGTATTTTCGTAACCCCAAAACAAGAATATTTGAACACCTTACGAAGATGTACTGACGATCATGTTACTAAGTTGGAAAGTTGTTTTCCAGATGATTTGAAGTTTTATCCGAAATTACTGATCGAGGTTGTGGAAGCTTTGATTGGATTTTCTTATGATCATTTGAATCTTAACAAACGTATGTAACGGAGTCAGAGTACTCGGATTCAGTTGAATAGTGATAATTATTTATAACAAAAAAACCTTGATAAAGTTTCATTATTCAAAAATATAAAAATCAAAAAATTCAGTTACCGTTAGCGGTGAGGGGTCAATGAATAAATTAATTTTTTTTTTTTGTGTTAAATTTTTTGTTTTATTCATTTTAGTTACTCCACAAAGTGACATAGTATTCTGCCTTCAAAGATTAAGAACATCAGGGGCAGTTCAGAATCTTTCGGAATGTATCCAGGGAAAAACTCCTGTTCAAAGTGACGTTCTAAATTACCAGTTGCCCAACAAAACATCAGTATGCAAGTAAGTACTTTAATCATGATTAATTTCGATTTCTATCGTAAAATTTTGGTAAAATCTGAACACGTTTTTTCTTCGTAGATTATGGGGTGAAATGGATGAATGTTTTAACAATTTCATAAAAAGGACATGCGCTCCAGATATAGCTGTTGATGTGATTTTAGGCAACTTCACTGAAGCTTTACTGAAACCATGCAGAACCTAATGATAATACCCAATGGTATTCGATGGTATTACAGTAGAATTACACAAAAAAAGCCAAAGAATATTTGAACCATTTGTTAAGAATCATTCCAATTTATATAGGTACGTTTTTGTAGAAAAATGAAAAAAAAATTATCGCAGATTGAAATCATTTCTAATAAATAATTCAAACAAACAAATTGAGCTTTTATTAGGTGTAGGTATGCGCAAGAGTTTTAGCGTTTTCAGAGGGTTAGAGTAGCGAATGTCAAGGCCAAGTGAGGTCACTGGGATTTTTTATGTCCTACTAGTACCAGTACATATCGTTTGATTAGCTTTTGTTGCATAAAACTTATTTCATCTGGTAAAGAATACTTTAGTTTTAGATTCATATGAATGAAATTTTTTTGACAGCTACCTATTTGTCACAGCTAGTTAAGAGTCTTCGTATTATCAAATCATTTTCTGACCGAATGTCCCTCGGACTTTGTGAAATGCCTCATAACTTTATTATTTCAAATTTCTGAAGCATGTTTGTTGGTAACAGCCCTCAACGTGCTTTCGAATGACATAAAATTTTCTCGAAATTTATCATCAATGTCCTAAGGATATTATAGCTGATAAATTTTTGACATTTTTGTCACAGCCAATTAAATTTGATTATTTTATTGTGTCATATGATACAAATCAATCAATCATTTCAACATAACACTTTGATAACTTCTCTTTATTTTCCTCTGGAAGAGAAGTTTCATTTTTCTGCGAACCGATATAAATAGCAATAATCATCTTAAAGCGGTCCATCATTTGAACTTCATTGTCGTCAACACTCGACGCAGAAGTTCTTAGAATCATAAAAAGCTTTATGTATGGGGTAATTTGTTCGATTTTTTATCGCTAGAGGCAGCAGCGTCAATCAGCGCTATTATGTTCTTGTAATTAATTTTGCGTATTTTTCTCGCTAGATGGCAGCGTCAATGAACGAGTTCTCAAGAGCATAATTTCTTCATAATTTGCACTAATCTGTTCGTTTCAAATTTTTTGTTCAATATTATGAATTAAATTATTGCAAAAATAAAAGTGGAACTGAATTTAAGACTATGTTTTTAAACTAAAAACAGGTGTTCCGGTCAAATCTGTTCCGGATGTTTGACATTTCGAGTGTTCAAGAACTACCTATCCAATATTGATCCAATCGGTTTGTACTCTGTGGTCAGAAGTAGTTGGGACGATTTTCGAACTATTAATTTTTGTTCTGACGTTGAGGTTAGATTTATTCACAAATAACAAATTTCCATATTTTTTTGCACGTGTCTGTATTTTCAGTAGTTCTGTTATTATTATTCAGAAATGAAGTGCTTCGGGCACCAGGGCCGTGGCGCCATCTATTAGCAGTGCGCTATACGAGACATCATTTTGACATTTGATAAATAAGCAATAATTAGAAATGAAACTAAGTTCTTAATTATAGTTGTGAAAGGTAATATTGCAGTTGCTTGAAGATAAAATGTTGCATGCCATTCGGCCCACAAGTTCTTTTTGTACTTCACTCGATTGTAGACATCTGCTACGCGTCGGCCTTCAAACGTCGAGCTCAGCACAAAAAGACCCACTTTTTGGCCTTATGACATAAATAAGTATATAGAAGTAGGAAGTAGGTACATGACATGTAAGGAAACGCAGAGATTTCTCAACAAATCTAGGTAGTTGCTTAATTCATGAAATATACAAGGTGTTTTCTGACTCAATTTCAATGTTTCAGGAGGCGATTTTTTGAGTCCATTTTAAGAAGGAAACTTCATATGAGCATATGTCCTTAACGTCTCAACTTTTGAAATACAGGGTGATAAACTTTCCTTTATTAATAATATCTGTAACAGCACTTCAGATACGTACGAACGCCACTGGTGAAAGTTTAAAAAAATGTGGTACCTACATTAAAAAGTGCCTTTTGAAACATAATACATGTGTGCCAAATTTCATTAAAATATCTAAAGTGGTGCTACAGGTATTAATATATTAAATTAATTATTTTTGAAATCTTTATCACCCTGTATAACAAAACTTCATAGAAGGCGCATCATTAATTCCAGAAATAAAATCGCGTTAGGCAATTCGGGGTAAATTTATCAATTTTTCAATTATCTGACGTCCTTTTCTCATAGATTTCGGCTTCAAATCTCAGAATAATTTAGTGTATGTAGTTTGGGGGGGTCCCCAATGATCAATTAATTGAAACGTTGAAATCTGATTCAGAATGAACTTTATTATGATAGAGATTTTCAGCCAGAACGCGGATGCGGAATTTATGCAAATGACATCTAGATCCTAATTTCAAAATTGTCAATACATGGGTCCACCAGTTAGGAAATTTAGTACATATTCTTAAAATAAATGAACGTATTTGGTTCATTAATAGGAGTAGTAAAAACTAAAAATAGTGTATGCAACTCTCATATATATTGGCCATTAATACATGTTGTAGATTGCATAATTATTATTAGAAATTTCTAAAATCTTGGGGTCATGAATCCGTTTTAAAATAAATAATTTTTAGTATTTGAAGCTAGTAGAAAATAACATTCATTGATTGGATTTTTGGATTACAGATGAGTTTTTAGTACCAGTAGGATGGTCTATGGCATCCAAGATTACCCTTGGAATCTGCTACAGTGCTTGCATCCAAGAATTTTGCATCGGAAATTAAGATCACCCATCTTTGTTCTCACAGAAATCACAAACCAGTCAGAGCTTTTTTGTTTGGGTGCAAATCGCCAACAACCAGTTCTCTGACTATTTTTAACCAATGAAATGCGCTGTGACTGTAAAAACTTATAAGGCTTTACAATAATGCCTGAGGGCCCAGTTTCGGGATTATATAACTCATTTCTAAGGTTTTTAAGAAAGTTTTATATGTTCTTGTGATGATATTAGTATTTAGTTCTACACATTTAGTAGAAGTGGTATTCATTTTATTATTCAAATATGTCTGTAAGCTATTGGTGTCTGTGCCATTGTTTTGAACCGTTCTAGAACTGTCCTTTTTTCGAACCCGAAAATAGCTACTGGCGACCTAAGCACAGATCAACTGTTTCCAGATAGCTACTGCTACAAGTATTTGCAGCAAATCTTCATGTCATTTAAGTTAAACCAGTTGATAAGAAATCATAAACTTAAAAATAAGTTGAAATTATCGACTAGACTTTGCCTAATGATACTTAGAACATTGGACATGCCCCATTACAATAGGATAACAGTGTTTTAAAGAATTTTTTGTCCATTTCACAAATCAATTCGAATGTGGTTTTTTTCTGATAAAGGTTTTTGTGCAGTTTTTGCGATTGGATTGTTATAAATTTGAAAAATGAGAAACAACCAAAGATGGAATGAATTAGCAGTTGAAAGAATTATGATAAAGAGTTTTTTTTTTTAATTTCATATAATTATCACAAGTTTTTAGCAATGTCACTGTTTTCTCTTTTCAATTCGACTTGGCCAAGCTATAAAGAAACAAAAAATGTAGTATTTTCCACTATTTTTGAGAACTCGTGACTGGGTACTGCCATATCATATCCATTTTTTTGTGAATAAAAAAAAGAGCTTATAAACTATGTTCCAATTTATTAACATAAATATGTCTCTTTTACATAATATCACTAGTATCCGCCCATCTCACTCGTCTGTTTTCAAGATTACTAAACCCCAGTCCGAAATTCTTGTGCAAGTTTTCCACTGACGCTCTGCTGTATTCCTGCATATAGTGATTCTTGTATTTTTTCACCAGAGCGATGCAAGCTATAATAAATATGAGCTGAACAATTATCCAAGTTACTATTAGGCCGATGACTAGCGAATAGTCCATACAAACTTCGTTTGTTGCATAATCTGAAAAATAGATTTATTTATAGACTAGTATTGACACTATTGACACATGAAAATCAAATTAAATAAGAAGTGATTTTTGGATTTGCCTGTGTGAGATTATGGCATATTTGGCTTAATTTTTGTCTCTGGCAAATCAGAATTGTTACTACTTATGAAACTTTTTTTGGCTCCTTAAGGTATGAGCGAAAAGAGCTTCCTACAAACATAAATGTCTAGCTTTGAAAGACCAATAAAGACAACTCTAAAGCTTCTAATCCAATCACAAAATCTACTAAAAAGCAATAAAGTTTGGGCGCCACATATGTTCTTTGGAAACCCATAATAATTTTAACTTATTAACTTCTCGTTCATTAACTAATGCATCGGAACGACAACATAGTTTACTATGTCTTTATGATAATTCCTGGCAATAAAACCTAAATAGGTCAGTCAATAATTCAGCATATTTTATATGGTATTTAGGCCCGGTTTATTCATCTTCAGATAAACTTGCTGGTAACTATCTCCAAGATAAATTTACTGGCCGTCAGATTGCATACCTGACAGTTTATCAGAAAGTGATTAAGCCGGCCCTTATAGTCGTAAGAACTCAAGACAAATAATTACTATTCTATTAAAAACTGCCCTACTCTTATGAAACTCACTATAGCCAGCGACCAATATCGTCCCTTGTTCGTTTCCCAAAACTAGCTTATTAGGAACCGAATTCGAATCTCTCACAATCATCATATACTCCAGAGGCATTTGATTGGCCACGGATGATTTAATTTCGAAATCACTGTAGTTTTCTGGAATATTTGCACGGACCATTTTATTTCCGTTTATTGTCTCTAGAAGGTGCAACCTTATTTCTCTTTTACGTCTCCCAAATGATTCTAGACCTTTCTCACATTTAATCTAAAATTAGATATAGAGAAAATGAGGGTCGGTTATTTTGCCTGTAAATAGAAACTTACTGGCGGGCACTCGTAAGAACAAAACTGTATGATGACGCTGAATCTAAGAATAGGCGATACTGCAAACTTGAATGCTTGAAAAGCGGCAACGAGTTTCCTGGTGCCGTTTGCGACGACTTTCGATAATGAAGGAAAAATATTTAGGTTTGTTGGGCATCCACGATCGTCTAGTAAAAATATGGATTCATCTCCTTTTTCAGTCATAGCTATTAAATGGCTTGCCCAGAGATCATAGGTATCTGAAAATAATACAATCTATCCAATTTAAACCCTGATAATTGATTATGTCTTTTAGATATAGCAAATCATATTATTATTAAGAAATCTTACTAGTCTTTTCTTTGAGCTCGATAATTAGTTCAAGTTCTTGACCAATTTGAGTGTCGGTGGTTTCTTCTTGTGTTCTAAGATCGACGACTTTCATTTCAACTATTGGTGCTATGGTATCGTTCAAAGCCGTATTGATGATGGTACTTCCTTTGCTCGGCAGACTTCTGGAAAATCGATTTAAAATATATAAGTTGTAATCCAATGATTGAACTCAGAGTGTGATTGAATATCAACAAGTATTGAGTCCACACATTTCCGAGCTAATAAAACTGTTCAATCGAATTACGCCTGGCCCCAATCTGGCTGGAGAGAAGTATTACAAATGCATTCAAAATAAGATTCAATTTACCTAATGGAAATGGCGCCCCGTGTCATGAAACCTTCTAAACGTTACTTATAGATAGCAATAAATGTTTTAAGCACAACGCCATATTGCCATTTTACAACTTCGACAACATCATTATCAACAAGGCGCCGAGACACAATTAAAAACTATCGTTTGAGATTTTTAAATTAAATTGACACGAGTTGTTGTCTCTTTGATTTTGGTTTCGGCGAATTCATGTATGAATAAACAAAAATTTGATTTCGATTGCATTTTGGTTTATTGTCGCAACGTTTCGACTTTATTTGCAGTCGCTATTAAGGTAATGACCACAGTAATGGGGATATTTCTCATAAGAACCAATCGAACTATGGACATGGACATCTTGTACATATATTTGCTCATTCCAACAAAAAATAACATACTTCGAACATTTTTTTACTTACATGACTTAGGACGGATGAAAACGCAATCTGTAATCCCATTCGTCAGCCAGTTATCCGTTGACCAGTAAAATTAGGCATTAGCTGACGTCACCTACATAACTTCACTTTCTATGAGGGCTGGGGGACAAAAAAGTCATTAGGCCTGACTTGTCTGAACAGGTAACAATTTCACTTGAGAAATATCGTTTGTTTGTTGATTGAGGTGGGTTTGCCTCGTCCGCGTCTCCCCATCGAAAGTGAGGTTATGTGTGTGACGTCAGCTAGTGCCTAATTATAAAACGGTAAATTTATCTCGCAGAAAGTTATTACCAAGTTTATCTGAAGATGGATAAGCCGGGCCTTGATTATTTTTTGAAACTCATGAAATAAGTTGTCAGACTTGTTTTATTGAAGAATTAAATTGTTCACGGAACGAAGTGAAAAGTTCAATGAATTTTCTTGCCTATACAGGGTGTATCAGGTTACTCAAATACAAAGATTTTGACACGTGAAAATATGGCCCATTTTGAACAAAAAAAAGTCCTTACAATATGGGGTCCAATCTCAACCATTTCAAGGTCCTAGATTTGACATTTTTTGACTAATTAGTCATCAGTGTTGAAATCTTTGTATTAAAACATATAGGGCGAGCGTAATTCGCTTGAACATACTCTACTGATTACATAATAAATCAAATAAAGTTTCCTTACAATGCGACTGTCACTCCGGTACCAACGACCACTTGGCTTTGGTTCCCAAAAATACATCCCACTTTCAATATCCTGTCCGATTGAGTTTGAATAAATGCGTTGTACTGAATGATTAACGTACCTGACAATAGGGTTCTAAAACAAAACAAAAATTAACAAATATATTATTTCGCTCTAGAAAGTCATGAAAAGCATACGAGTAGGTACTCGATCTTCACACTTTAGAATAAAAATAAGTCTTCTACTATATGTTTATTTTCCCAATAATTATTCCTATGATTTTTTCCACTTTAGTTTGGGATCTTTTTTCCCTTACAATAGATCAAACATTCACTTCAAAGAAAGATGATTTTATAGGAGATTTCATGATTTTCTCAGCTATTAATGAGTAAAAAAATATGTAACTTTGGTTGTGAGTTTCATATCAACTTCCAACTTGTTTTCTATCATGGAAAAACTCTAATTAATAAATCCTGCAAGTTTCAAATTGCTGGGATGACTGAAAGTATTTTTCAGGAACCTCCGAAGATAATTTTATAGGAAATTGTATGATTTTCTCAGGTATTAATGAGTAAAAAAATCTGTAACTTTGGTTGTGAGTTTCATATCAAGTTCCAACTTGTTTCGTATCATGAAAGAACTCTAATTAATAAATCCTGCAAGTTTCAAGTTGCTGTGATGGCTCAAAGTATTTTTCAGGAGTGATTTTACAAGAATTGTGATTTTCTCAAGTATTAATGAGTAAAATAATCAGTAACTTTGGTTGTGAATTTCATAGTAACTTCCAACTTGTTTTGTATCATGAAAAAACTCCAATTAATAAATCCTGAAAATTTCAAGATACTGTGAGGGCTCAAAGTATTTTTCAGGAACCTTCAAAGGGGAATTTACAGGCATTTTGAGATTTTTTCAGGTATTAATGAGTAAAAAAAATCGTAACTTTTGTAGTTGTGATTTTCATATCAACTTCCAACTTGTTTTGTATTATGAAAAAACTCTAATTAATAAATCCTGAAAGTTTCAAGTTTCTGTGATGGTTTAAAGTATTTTTTAGGAACCTTCGAAGATGATTTTACAGAAATTTTATGATTATCTCAAGTATCAATGCGTAAAATAATCCGTAGCTTTGGTTGTGAATCTCATATCAACTTCCAACTTGTTTTTTATTATGAAAAGGCTCTAATTAATAAATCCTAAAAGGTTGAAGTTGGAAGGCTGAAAGTATTTTTCAGGAACCATCAAAGATGATTTTACAGAAACTTCATGATTTTGTCAGGTATCAATGTGTAAAATAATCCGTAAGTTAGGTTGTGAGTTTCATATCATTTTCCAACTTGTTTTGTAACTTCAAAAAACCCTAATTAATAAATCCTGAAAGTTTTAATTTGCCGTGAGGGCTCAAAGTATTTTTCAGGAACCTTCAAAGATGATTTCACAGGAATTTTATGATTTTCTCAGGTATCAATGAGTGAAATAATCCGTAATTTTGGTTGTGAATTTCATATCAACTTGCAACTTTTTTTGTATCATAAAAAAACTCTAACTAATAAATCCTGGAAGTGTCAATAAGTTGCTGTGACGGCTCAAAGTATTTTTCAATAGTTATTTTACAAGAATTTCAAGATGTAAACTTTCTCGTTTCATGAGGGTATATAGGTATCCATATGTATTAAATTCCTAATTCACAAATTACCTACTTATTGCCTAATACAAATTATTCCTAACATTTCGTGTAATTACTACAAAAAAATAATCATTCAAGCATTAGCCCTGAATTTTTAGTTTCAAAGAAAATTATCTTACCATTATTAGGCCTTTAAATTGTTTTATAATCCCTTGACACACTTACCTATTAGTACTGCTGTCAGCTTTAATGATACCGCATTGGCTAGCGAGTAACGGCAATTTCAAAGTTACCACCGTAAATTTTCCTTGACCTACGACATAACATGCGGGACTTTCAGAATAGCCTTGCATGTACAATTTTCCGCGAAAATCCGTTTCGGGTTGATAACGTACTGTCATGGTACTATCGCTGCATGAAACGTTAACTGAAAATAATATCATAGGGATCAAGTACATACATATTTTGTCGGCGAAATATTAAGGAAATTTGAAAAATCGGCAATATTATTATTCCCGAAGTCCTTTGAAGAAAAACAGAAAAAAAAAGACAGGGCTGGGACTCTGTAACGAATGGAGATATTTTCTCTATCTCTCTTGATGTCTCCTCTACATTGGTTTCGACAAGAGAGAAGAAGGCAGCAAGTGCCATTGCGACAGGGATAACGATCGATAACGATCTTTGTCTAACGAAAGTAGGTACCTAGGCAAAAAAACAGACGATAGAAAGATAGACAAGGAGAGAAAGACCGACTCAAGATAATTTTGCAATCAAAAACAAAAAAACAATTGACTGGAGGAATCTCGTTCCATTCCAGAATATTCGACAAGAAGTTGAAGGTGAAGTAGAAACAATCAAAGGCGGAAACGAAGCAGGCAGAGAAGAAGTCAAAGGCGAAATAGAGACGGTTCGCGAAGAATTCAAGAAGAAATATAGAAAACTGAAGAAGTAGATGAAGAAGCAGAATAGATATGTCGGTGAGCCCTCTCATTGTGTAGTTATTTTTTGTGATAGCTAATAAAAAGAAAACTTACTGTCAAGACATCTAGCTTTTTCATAATATGTAGCCCTTTCGCTGCTGGTAAGTATTCTAGGGCCCCGCATTTTAGTATCCTCACTATGCAGAATACATATTTCAGTATTTCCATTCAAGACACTAAATCCCCTACAGTTGAATCCTGCATATGTATCGCACTCATGTTGACAGTCTTCTTTCGATTTGTTAGAAAACATTAGGTCACTGTGTTTGAGGTATAACTTTTCAAATTCTTCGTAGGCGCAGTATTCGGTGGAATCGGTTTCTACAAAAATTTTACTCTCTTATTAGCCAAACATATTAAAATCAACTTACCCCTTTCAGTCTCCTCAATACCACTGCACATATTCTCTAGATAATAATCATCAAACGTTGATACTCTATAAGCGTTGGGCATCAAATGACGATCACTATCACTCAATGTACACGATCCTACACTTTCATTATGTTGAGTTAAAGAATAGTTAAAGCTGACTTTAAATTTGACCGATTTGCATTCAAAGTTTGTTTCATTCAAGCAAAGTTGCTCGCATTCAGTCCTGGATACGTTGTTTGGTAGTTTTTTTGTGTCATTGCCTATTAGGGTAGCTCCACGGATTGTTTCGAATGTCCATAAACGTTTGCAGTCTTTTTCTAAAATAAGAGCGAACTTAAGTTATACAGGTCGTATCAGGTTTGACTGCACGTTTAACAAAAAAAGTTTATACAACATAGTGCTTCAAATTCAACCATTTTTTAAGAAAAAGGCCTTTGAAGTTTTGGCGAATGATGGATTCTTGATTTGTCAGCTAGGTACTTGAAGTACCTATTGTAAACGCGCGTAATAAAATATTGTAAATTTCATTATTTTGACCCTGAATGCCAGTCCAACTTACCTTCTCCAAGACAAGTTTTCACAAACCACGCAGCATCGTTGTCTATATCATTTTCAAGTCTCTTTCCATCTCTGCTTACTGCCGTGACGTCATTATCGAACCAGTAGCACTCGAATTTGTCGTAGTAGAGCACGAAACTTTGGCACGCGTCATTCGATTGACATTTAACTAGACAGTCGATCGTGATCGGTCTGTCGGTGTCATTTTGGTTCAGTTGGAATAGCAGTTTTTGGTCATTCTGGTTGCTGGACGATGGCAGGCCGATTATTTTTTCGAATTTTATATTCGATTTTGGGCAGTTTAGTATTCGGACTGCAAATCCTACAGTGGAAGTTTGTAATAATTTTAGAATATCCAATAAATTAAAAAAATTAAAAAAATTACGACTTATTATGCGCGATATGATTTTTGGCCAGACTACTTATGATGCCACTTTCGAGCCATTATGTTTGCGGGAAAATCAATGAGAGGGTTTTACAAAAGATTGGGAATTTAGCCGAAAATGTGTCCAGAATGTGTTTTATTTTTGGCCAAAATCTGGTGCCATCAGTTTGACATTAAAATGATTTGCTTGTAAAAGCTGAAAATTTTCTAAAAAAGTCTTTCTTGAAGGATTTTAGCAAACAAGCAATTTTCCTATCTAATTTTCAAGATAATTCAAGAATGTTGATATTTTAATAAAGTAGGAAAATCAAGCTTCTAGATGATGAGAAAATTATGTACGAAGTGTTAGTTTTGGACTGAGGGAGTATTTCTATTGTCAAAAAATCACGGATGAAAAGGCAAGTTTGTTTGTAAGGCAACACTATCAAAAAAAAAATACAAATTGCATCTCGCTATTCAGTTTTCCTTTTTGAGATATTTACATGCAAAATGTGTCAGTTTATGAAGGGACACCCTGGAGTGGCAGCTGATATACTCAAAATGACAATAAGAGTAACATTATTTTTGTATTTAAACGGATGTGGATGAGGTATTATACATTAAAATCTACGACAGGGTCGTATACCAATCGCTGCTGTCTATAAGTATACTGCACCTGTAGTAAATAACTAAATAACCATGTAACAAATTGAAATTGTTTGAAAAATAATCAATTTAAATTATTAATGAAAGCTATTATTAGCCTATAAAAAATATTTAACATGAAATTATTTTCACCGATTTATTATCGGACAGCTCTGACTCTATATAGTTTGGTATCTACAGTGTCTTATTATGTGAGAGTCTATAAGAAGATTTTGGAAAATTCCTGAGTGTATTGAACGAGAGCTAGAGCTTTGAGATTTTAACCGAACTTATAATAAAGTGTATATAACTTTACCTGAATTAACTTTAAATAAAATAAAAACCCACAAAACACGAATCATTATAACAACACTACATTATTCAAACACTAGATTTTGAATCGCAAACCTCGACTAAGTTTGCTTACAAGCATTTACCGCGTTTTATTTTATTGTCAATTCACGAATATTGGTTTAGGTACTACCAGTATATTCGTTAAAATACTAAAAAAATTGCACTGCATGTTTGACACAATCGACTATCTGCATTACGTAAACAATGCCGTCCTTGCTAAAACGCTAAAAGGTAGGTATAGAGGGTATACCATTACCCATTGTAATTTCGTTTTTATTCACATGTTCGATGACTTGGATAGGTTGGGAATTTTTCCTATTAATTTTAAATCAATTGGGAAACGTTCGAATGAAATTCTCAAGTTTTGAGTTAATTAATGGAAGCAGAGTCCGGGGAAAAATAAAGTCACTACAACAACAATACACAGGACTCTCACTCATTTTTGTGACCTGATTTTATAATAATAATTGTATTCCAATATTTATGGTAAGTAATTGTTTAAATTGCATTTCATTTAACGTTCTATACAAAACGAAAGTTTGGCTGATTCATTTTATATGTCTACTACAATGGCCCATTGGACGATCCCATGGCCGTTTATTTTTGGGAATACATTGTGCGGTGAGAAAGAATCATTCCGGATAATAATTATTGAATATTGATTCGGTGTGAAATAATATTTTATGTAAAATGCTCATCAAGTTTAGTGACATTTTAGCTAATCCGAACATTTTGATTAATATGTATTTAAACTGATGCGTTATGTGCAAATATTCGTTGTGGTCCATTTAAAACCATACTGTCCTCTGGGAGATTTTCTTCGGCACTTGGGATTAGATCATTTGATAAGATCCTGGCAAGTACCTTTCTTTCTCGCAACAGAAAGTAGAGATATTCCTCTGTAGTTTCCACTTTGAGCCTTGTTTTCCTTTTTAAAAATGGCAACCATAAGGCATCTTCTAGTTCGGCAGGTATTGGTATTAGGTCTTAGTAATCCATATTTCACTTATTTGGATGTGGGTTTGGGCACTTAGGCCTTCTTGTTTAAAGAGTTTAGCAGGAATGCCGTCAGTACCAGCTGAGTTATAGTTCTTTAGTTGTCTGATTGTCTTTTCAACCTTCTCTAATCTGGAAACCTCATTCAGTTCTTGTTCTTGTTGTATTGGTTTCTGTGGAATTTCGTTGAAGATGTAAACTTTTGCACTTTTGAATAGGATGGCGGCATCAACACCAAATCAATCAAACTTTATTGTTCAAAGATACAAAATCATTCTGACAAAGCAATTAAATCTTACAAAAAATTTGGAAGTTATGAGAGAAATTCTTTAATATTTAAGTAGGCTTTCGCAGGTGCTTGTTTGTGAAACATTTTCGAACAGTAGGTAAATCTGTCGGATTACTAACGACAGTTTGGTTGAACATTTCCTTGCTGTTGTAGACATACATACGAGGAACAATCTCTATCGAAACTAGAATGTCTAGAATTGGAGTTATTATCGTGATTAGATTTCACTTTCATTAATTGCCGAATCTTCTATGCATTAATTAAATGATATGTTGTGAAGTACCCTGTATATAAGAATTTGAAATCAATCACCAGAAGTTATTTAATATTTTTGACCCCGAAACGCAAATTCCTGTAATTAATTATACTATTACCCCATAAGTAATCCTAACTTTTTTCGTAAACGTTATTATTGGTAAATAATAATAATCAGATATCTATTTTACAATAATTACCCATCTATTGTCGCAATTAGACGCATAGCGAAGGCGGACACATTATAGGGGCGTTGCTAACGCAACTTTTCTAACGAAATTCGTACATACCTAATTACACTTATAGGTACCACATAGCAGGACATTGCATATAACAGTGATTACGATTGTCCTAAGCATTTTTTTGTTTTTATTAATTTCGAATTATACTTGTTACGATTTTCTATTCAAATGTAAAAATACTCATATTTATGGTAAATTATTTTTCATGAGTCATTTTCCGAAACTATTATTTTACATAGTTGAATGCAAGGTTGAAACAGGTGCATTATTATGGTTTATCAATTCAATGCCGAACGCCTACAATACAAAAGAGCAAGATTTAAACTAAAAAACATTTGCATTTTTGATGATATCGTTTGTTGATTGACTTTTAGATGTGTGCACATACACATATTTAGAAATATTAATTTTAAATTGCTAGTGAAATCTAATCCCCTGATATACCAAAATTTACAGAATACATATAAACTTTGGATATACCCACTACTTATTTAAAAACATTAATATACTTCAAATTTCGGGCCGCAGATAAGTGAGACTACTCTTCTAAAATTGATTCAACTTTATTCAGGACAATAGCACAAAAATCAAAACTCACTATCTTACTATCGATTCACGTTCCACTAATTATCCGATTATTGACTTGAGAACTTTTTAACAATCAATACGAAAATGTATATTTTCCTCATAATAATTTTCACTGTGATTTACAGCAGAATTGGAATTTTCGAAACTTTAATTCTTTTGGATTGAAGGTTCCTGAGCTAGTAGGGAATCTCGTGAAGTTCTTAATTTTTGGTTGCATGTTGATTGACGGGTTGTCAAGAAAATTGTGATTGCTGGAGAATTTTTTTTTTTTTGAATATTCACATGTTCTTGTCTGAATAGTTGTGTTGCTGTGTGGTTTGAAATTGGGAGAAAGAATTTTGTTTCGAAGTAAAGTTAAAATTGGGGTATCTTATATATTGTCATGGCTCTGGGGTGCGTGACAGATCAGATCAAAGTCCAATTAACACAACAATAATTTATTTCGCGTTACTACACACTCTGACACTAATTACTTCACTTATTAACTCAAACAACTTTTTACAAGGTTTATCACTATCTAAAACGTATCAAACTTAAAACTACTAACCAGGGCCGTATCTAGACCAAAATTTTGGGGGGGGTTAGGCAAAGTGGCAAAAAAAAATTGTTACACTAGTAATAAAAATAAAAAAAAATAAATAAGTATTTAATAAGTTTTGTTTGTTTTTAAGTTAAATTTTTTGAATTTTAATATTTTTCGGGGGGGGGGGGGGGGGGGGGGGGGGGTTTGAACCCCCAAAACCCCCCCCCTAGATACGGCCCTGCTACTAACTAATACCGGCCTTTTTATATCTGTATTCCATTCTTCTTGAATCCAGAATAAACGCGATGTTCTCTTTTCCTGGAAAAGGCAGTAAATTCTAGATTTCAGATATGATTCTGTGCATACAGACGAAAGCGCCACAATATTTTAAAACCTAAGTGAGATTTTCAGCTTTCTGAATTTCATTTCCATTCTATAAAATGGAATGGATATCAATTAATTGGAAAATTAAAATAAATCAACCATTCGAAAGAGCATTAAATTTTCTATAAATCTGTGTAAAATTGAATTTGATAGCTTAAATAGTTTTTGAGCACTTGAGCCTCAAAGTTGACTTTTAGTCCAAATTTTGTCAAAAACTTCAAATTCAATTTGGTCAAAAACTATAAATCTGGGAATATTGGAAATCACAGGCCATTTAGAGCTTAATAAGGGTCACAAATGCTGAAAATTTCAATGCAATTTGCTCAACGGTTACCGAGCAATTGAGGTAGGTATGAATATTTTGAAATCAGACGTCCTTATTAAAACTCGATTTTTTGAAGTGAAACTTCTTAGGCGGTGGTCTGATATTTGAACGAAAATGGGGAGTGATCGTTGAGAAATTTCGTTACACGAGAGAGAAGAAAGATATAAAGTAGAGACGGAAAAAGACAACCAATGACAGCCGACGAACGATTGACACAAACCAAGGATTATAAGCAAGGAGGATTGCCTACTATTGTCAAGCGCTGATACCCTTGTGACGTCACTATAGATGCGCGTCTTCCTTTTGTGTGGTCCTTCCTTCGTCTTTACCACGATCCACGACTCATACGTTAAAGTCTAGAAATTGTATTCCATCCCAACGCTCTTAATTTTGTACTTTAGATGGGAGTGGGGCGCCGAATATTGTTTGGGCACACAGGCGGCTAAACACCCTAGCGGCGGCCCTGTTCCTAGTCTGCCATTTATGGCTATTTTACATCTTACCGCATTATATGATCGCTGCCAGTCGTGAATGAGCCTAAGACGTCTACATCTTGGATTATTTGATTTTCATGTGTCAGTATAAAATGTATTCCGTTTTTTGTCTTTCCATCCGGGCTTACCTATGTTCATTTTTTGTCAGATCTGTTTCATCTGTGTTCATCGCAAAAAGTTTTTGCTCTTTTTCTAAGAAGTTGATTACCATGTTGCCTCCTTCATTTCTTGTACCATGTCCGAATTTGCCAATGTAACATGAGTCGTTGTCATCTTGGCCCATGTTTGCATTTAAACCTCCCATTACTACTGTTTTGTTCTCGTGAAAACACTGTTACCTCTTCATAAAGTTCCTCGTGGTCGCTTGTTGGTGTGTAAATTTGGATAGCTTTCACAGGAGGTACAAGTACAATAATACAATACATTTCAATAATAAAAATTTTATTTGTTTTTAATTATGAAGCATTGATGTTCGATATTTCTTATGCAAGCTCGCTTTGGAATCATTTTTTTTAAGGTTCTCACTTCTACAAACTTCCAATAATTGATCGTAAAATTGAAGGAAGGATTCTCTGGTAATTGGATGGGCACAAGAGGTTTCCAAGTGACCTTCTAGACACGATCTGAAGCTTTCATAGAATCTTGAAAGAGACAAATATATTATTTGAAAATAGAATTGGCGAATATCTACTCACTCGCACATGGCTTGTGCTGTAGGATACTTCTTAGTACGATCAATTTCATCAAATTTATCGGTGAACTTTTTGATACACGTTTCAGACTGCTTGGTTACATTTCTAAAGCAGGGATTAAGGTACTCTGCAAAAAAAAAAACATGTAAGAGATGTTTAAATTTGAACTTGCGTATTTTTTTTACCGACGATATGTTCTCCATTAGCTTTGCAAAGGTAGTCAACGGCGCTGCCAATCATTTTGACAACAATCGTTGGTATTCTTTTGGATTGCGCTGGAAGGCACTCATCAAGTAAACTTGTTATTGGCAACGCACACTCGTAAACGGCTCTCCTTGTAGCGCTGCATAAAGTTTGACTCCCAAAGTCGACCTCACTTAAGCATTTCTGAACTTTTTCAGTCACATTCTGGAAATTAAAGATTCGATCAGGTTAGGCAATTTACAATAGAAAAATCTGTTTCTTACTTCTACGCGCAACCCATATCCAGGACAAATGTCTTCAGTGGTTTTTTCTAATCCGTCTTTGTTATATTCCAAAATAGCTGGCACGCTGTAGCGAGCTAACGCATTTTCACCGTAGGAATCGCTGGTGGTGGTTTGTATAGCTGAAAAATCGATGTTACGGCTTACAGATACAAGATACAACTATTATTTTTTGGGAATGCCACAGATCCTTAGAACCATGTATCATGCCCAATATTCTATAGGAGACATGGCTCTTATACATAAGCAGATATTTAATATAATTTCTTTGTTCACATAATGGATGAGAATATGTATATTATAAATGTTCAAACCGCATTTCATAAGGGCTAACCAATTCCTCAGAGAATTTGAATATTCCGCATAGGAACTATTTTGAATTAGTTGTATTTCTTGACATTTCGAAAAACGCTTCCATTGCATTATTTATAGTAATGCTCGCATTTTTCGGGGTCGGGGTCAACTGATTATAACGAACTCGATTATGAGTCTGTCGCAGATAACAAAATATTCATAAACTAAATATTTTTGCATCGGACCTATTTTGAAGCAGGTTCTGATAAAACAAAGAATTCAAGTAGATTTTATAAAACAAATTTGTCAGTTCACCCGGTTTAATAATAACTTTTGATACGATAGACAGATAGCATAAAGCATTGAACGTAGGCATATTTCACAACTAACCCAAACCATTTCTTGTAAATCGTTTACCTGGTGATAATATTTGATAAATTAAGCATACAAAAATAACACGAATAAGAACCTCAGAGGCCAATGACCAAAATGATCTCAAAATCTCAATAATTGTTTAAAATGAAATATTTTTTTATTGATTTCAAGCATTTTTATCGAGCAATAAAATCAATGAATCGAATCACTTCAAACAAATAAAATAATGTGAAAAAAAAATCCTTACCTGCGAACGCTGCAAGGACAAAAATGAGTAGCTTCATCTTCTGGGATTCAATTTGGAATGACTAACGAATTTTAGTACGGCTACCTCCAGTTTTTATAGAAAACCGACCAATAATCAATTTCTGAACGAAAAAAATAAACATAATAAATTGTACATTAATGAGCCAAATGTTCAAATCTTGTTTTCTTTTTTCAAATCTTCTTCGAAAAGATATTGAAAATATCATAATAACCAGAAATAAACATTATTTTTTATGATTTCCAAAAAAATCACATTCAGTCATTAATTTTATCACAAAAACAGTCAGGGCCTATCAATAGTTGAGGAAAATATTTTAGAAATAAACGATCTCCTAATTGAAAAAGTTATATGTAGGTAATCAGCTAAAAGTTAAGTGCTTGTATATAATCTTTTCACAACTGTTACTAGGCGGTGTTGCGATCCAGTGCCTCCCAGATTACCAGGATGTCTCGGGTTCCTTATTGCAGTCTGTAGTTAAGATCTCCAACATACAGGTTCATCCTGTTCAGGAGGACTTTCATGGGTGTGTGGCCTGTCATAAGGCCTGTTATAGTCTTTAGTCAGCTCCTACTCATTTGTAGCAGCTCTGCGGCCCTTTTTCTGCATGGTTGGTCGATGAACTCCCTATCATGATTCTGCTGGAAGTTGTCTAGTGATGTCGATGTTCTTGACGAACTTAGTCTTTTATGTAGGTTCTGATCATACTTTTTGGTAACCCTGAAGCTGGCTCTGGCGCGATAATTTTTTTTTCTGATCCTCTAGAAAGAGACGAACTAGCAGAGGCGAGTTCGTTAGCTTTTTCGTTTTCTTCAATTTCCTTTTTTCCTGGCAGATATGTATGTATGTATGTATGTATGTATGTGTTAAAGATGTCATTTGCACTGCGACCAAGGTTGATCTATTGTACTCCTCCTTCTGCTGTTAAGTTCGGGACTTCCCAAGTTCTTCATTCTTGAGTTCACAGTTCAGTAGAAGATGGTGAATTGTTTCTTCTCCGTCTTCACAGAATCTGCAGGTAACACCTTCTTCCAACCCCAATTTCTGTAGGTGTTTCTGACGTCTGCAATATTCCGAGAGAAACCCGGTTAGAGTCTTGAGACTTTTCTTGCTAAAGTTGACCAGCAGTTCTGATATTTTTTGGTTTAAGTTGCCCAATAGCTCTTTGGCCTGTCATGTCATAGTCCTGGCTGTTCTAGCCATTGTTTGTTCCTTAGCCGGTTCTCTTTTTGGAGGTGCACATTTTCGACGCCGCAAAATAGTTCTGGCCCAGTGAAGGGAGTAGACGCTCCCGTTCTTGCAAGTCTGTCTGCGCATTCGTTGTCCTCGATCCCTATGTATCCAGGCACCCAGAGCAGGGTTACTTTGTTTTCTTTTCCCAGCTCATGGAATTCCTGTGGTCGTTCCCATACTTTCTTAACATTGATGACCGGGGAGCTCAATGCTTTGATATCTGCTTGGCTCTCAGACATTATTACAATCTCTTGTTTTCGATAACCTACTCATACATAACAGCTCGACGCATGAAGTTCCGGTTGAAATATGCTTGGCGATTTTTCCATTGGCTCCAAGTATCTGGTCCATGGCCCGAATACTCCGGCGCCAGTTCCCTCAGCAGCTTTGGAACCGTCTGTGTATGATTTGATGGTGTTTGCTTTAAGGGATTGGATAGATTGTATGTTTCATCTGTTTTTTGTACTTAGTTCGATGGAAAAGTTTTTCTCGAAACTGAATTTATCAACAATCACGTCTTTTGGTAGATCCATAAGGTGTGCACAGTTTTGGAGAGGAAAAGTTCTGAGAAATGATCCACTGGCAACCTACTTCACTATTATATGACTTCCAGTGCCGCCATTGGGCATGATCTCCTTGCTCCTGTTATACGGAAACACGCGAGTCTTTGCACCTTTCCTAGGGGCCTCCTAGCTGTTACTAGCTGGGCACTCAGATAAGTTTTACCTTATTTTGGTTCTCCAGGGCCCTGAGTTCTTCCCGGTATTCCCATACTATGATGACACTTGAAAGGGCCTTTAATGCCGCTTGACTGTCGAACATTCTAAGGATCTGCCTGTTGGCTACGGCTTCCCTGTTATTCTCTGGTGCGCACTGAAGCATAGAATATACCTCTACCTGAAAAACTGAGGCATGCTCCCCCATTGCATAGTGATTGCTGTAGCTGGCGGAGTATATTTACCCCTGCCTTGCTTGGTTCCAGCCGCAGTTTTCGACCCGTCCGTGTACCAAATCATTTAGCTCCGCTTGGGAAGCTGATGTCGAACGCTCTGTTGAGGCAGTGTTGCCTTGACATGTCGTCCGTCTTCATATTAAAAATATCCCCCCCCCCACAAGTTCTGCGATTGTCATGTGTCCCGTCTTTTTATTGTAGACGGTTGTCGGTTGCAGTCTGTAGTCTGTCCGCTCTAGGACTTCGCAAGACCAAGACTGGCTAGTCTTGGTCTTGGTCTCGAAAAATAAATGCTGTCTAGGTCTTGCTATTGATCTTGATGTTTGAAGACCAAGACAAGACTGACTCAATAGACTTGTTTTTAATGTTGACAAGACCACTGTGCTTGACTTCAGGTGCAAGATGGATGGCGTGGTATTGGCAGTTCCCTAGTTAAGGTGAGTTCGACTGCTATGTTTCTGGGCGTTTGCGGAAATGCGGATCTGTTTTGCTGTGAGGGTCATGAGAGGCGGGTTGTCTTTGACCTTTGCCTTTGCCTTAATTGAGTCGCACCTCCGATATGGAATTCAATTCTGTGGCCTCAGTATATAATAGGTATCCCCTGAATTTGCTATTTGTCTTGCAGAAAAAGGCTGTACGTTTTATCGCAGGCATCAGGATGAGGGACCCACGCAGGCCCTATTCCGGTTCACTGAGAATTTTACCTCTGACCTTTTTGTGCTCGAGACTCCGACATTAGTGTTCAAGAATCGTGCACCCATCGTGGGACTTCCACCACAGTGAGAAACGCGTCAGGCTTCTGACTTGCCCTTTACCCTTGCCAATTCCTACTCGCCAACTGACTAAGCACTCTCTGATCTTTGAAAGCAGAAGACATTGTCTATAAAAGTGTTCAGATGATCTTTAAAGAATTCACTGATTAGTAAGGCCTACTTCGATCTGGGTGAGCTTTACGTGGATGCCTTGTGACCTGTGCTTTGTGACCTTGTGCCTTGTGACCGGTCCAATCTTGACTGTTTACCCACACGTTTTTGCTACCTAAGCGTTTATGTAATTGTTTCATGTTTCAATGTATACTTTATATTCATTTTGACTGAACTGACATTCATGTTCATATTTTTGTTTTTGTTTATTTTTCATGTTCATTTGGTAGGTATTTTCCAAATCTAGGTGATACCTACATAGGTATGATTTTTATAATTGTTTGGATTTTTGTTAACATGCTTTGTCAATAAATATTAGGTTGTTTTTTTGACAATAAAGCACATTTTGATTTGGTTTGTGTTTTTTCCACAAAATCTGTAAACACAGAAAAGCAGCTGCAAAGTTTTGGTGAGAGCGACCACAACAAAGGAAATCTTATGGGAACTTCATGCTTCACGAAGATGCGGACTCTTGGACCGTAGCAAAACAACAGAAAAAATGGGAAGGCAATTTTTTCTGACTACATGACATAAGGTAAGGCAAGGCGCACATTGAGACACATGCGACGCAACCCACGCATGCCACATTTTTGTATAATGTAGCTAGCATATTGAGACGCAGTACAGGGAAGGCTACGAATGCGTCAAACAAAGCATGCGTAGCTCAGTGTTTGAGACACAGATTCGCGTGCGTGGGTGCTTGTCAAATTTGTCGAATAGAAAAAATGCAGGGGGAACTGATTCAATTTGCGTTAGCCGGCCCAGCTCCTGAATTTCGTGCACTGCGTCGTTTGTGCTGCCCTGCGTAGATTGCGTCGCATATGTCTCCAATGTGTGCTTTTCTTAAGAGGTGTCCAGATTGTCAAGCAAGAAACAAGCGTCCCTAGGGAATACCCCCACTATAACCTATTGAGGTGGACAGGATCTTCGATAAAATTAACTAGACCCATTCAGGAAAAATATTCGGGGGAAAACCATATGATAATCATAGTTATTTTGTTTGTGGTGCACATTAGAGGTCATAATTTGTTTACAATTTTACTAACGAGGCAACTTGAAAGCGCCTTATCAGAAATATTAACTTTTAATTTTACCTACTTAAAAAAAAAAAAAAAAATATATTTGTTTCTTTGGTGCGCCATCATTTTCTCGGTTCTCGGAATCCGTAATGAACTAACAAATACATTATATTTTTGAAGTGATAACTTTATCTCTATAAAACCGTTTAAGAGAATGAAGACACTGCAGTGTTGGTTTAACGTTGAAACATGTCGAAACAACAGAAGTTTTTAATTTTGGCTGTAGCTGCTCTTGCAGGTTAGTTTCATTATATAGTACCTATAGCTTTTTTTGGGAGTTTATAACTAAGGTTTTGAAATTTTCTGTTGTTTGTTGCATTGAAGAGTTTGTTAAAAAAAATGGACTTAGATATCTTTCTGTAATATACAGGGTGTGTTCTAATTAGATGATAATAATTAAAATTTAAGGGGGCCCATTTTAAGCATAGACGAATGTATCTATGTCTCAAAAGTCTTTTGAGATAGGAACATGGTGATAAAGATTTCAAAAATAATTTTCACTTATTATTTGTATCTGTACTTAACACCATTTTAGATATTTTAATGACATTTGACATACATATAATATGTATCAAGAGGCATTTTTCAATGTACCACATTTTTTCAAATTTCAATCATTAGTGGCGTACATAATTTGACCTTCCTATTTTGGCAGATATTGATGGTACGCCCCTGATTATTCTCTTAAAATAAAAATTATTTTTCAAATGAAAAATCAGGTGATCAACTTTGCTTGAAAATAATTGGGAATTTCTAGAATAATTTTTATTTTGAGAGTGGCGAAACTTCAGAGTCTTCCAAAATAGGCAGGTCAAATTCGGTACCAACGCTACTGGTAAAAAATTTAAAAAATATGGTATATGAAAAAAAGCCTCTTGATACATAGTACATGTTTGCCAAATTTCATTGAACTATCTAAAGTTCTGTTACAGATATTAATAATAAATTATTTATTCTTGAAAACGTACGAACATACAGGATGATGCATGTCAAAAGTTAAGACATTCAATTAGAAAACTCCCTGTACACATTTTTCTGTTTCAATTACTGCATCTTAAAATAATTCTTGGAATCATTGTTTTTGCCAATAACTTGGTAGTTTTAGATTATGTTCATTATTTCTGTTACACACATTTTTGTTTATATAGAATTCTCGTACTCCGTATGGAATGATTTCAAGAATTTAGAATTACAAACCTAATGAAACTACTGAATTATGTCTATTATTATTCGCAATATTACCGCCTATCACAATTTTCAAACTATGTGCTGTCAGAAATGCTAAAATGTGAAAATATTATGTTCCCACAGTTTTCCATTTCTCTGTCAAGTCCAGTCTTGCATTGGCTAACTGATCCTAAATTGATTCCAACAATATAGGTATCTACCTATTTTGTCAGATAGTTTCTTCTTAGCTTACAAGTTTGTTGTAACGGCCTTTTGTTCTCATCCACAGTTGGCATAATATTACAGTTCTGCTATTGCATGGACTTGTATGGCCTTAGATTCATGCATTTGGTCCTTCTATAACTTCTGGATTAGGAAGCTGTAAACGACGAATAGATAGTCTTAAGTCACCTGTACCAATAACTCAGACGCTTTTTCGGAATCCAAGTAGAATATCTATCTATATTAGCCCATACTCATAATCTGTCAATGTTGAAGATAATGACTGTTGATCGCTGTAGAAGGAAATCATATCGTTGCACTCGATGCTGAGTCTACAATTTTAAGTCAACCGCTTGTTACTTTTCTATTATCAAAAGAGCTTTCGTTGTTCTGCCAAAAAAACAAAACGGTTGACAGTTCCCTTTCCGTTAATAAAAACACCCTGGGATTATTGTCTCAAGGACCGGCAGTACAAAATTGACAAGCCTGTAACTCAGGTTGTGCCCACATATCCTCCGTCTTTATTTATGCCTTTCTGGATTTGATATAAGATTTCACTATTTACCCATGATCTATGATTATGAAATTCATCTTAGATTAATTGTATCTCCTTTTGTCTGCACTGCCCTAGTCTCACCTGATTTCAAGCAACTGTCTCAATTCTATCAAATTCTCGAATGAACTGAACTACGTCTACAATGGCAGATGTCTGCTCACTGTCCTATCTATTTAGTTCGTGCAGTCTACAAGAGCTTCACTCCGCCAGTCTAGTATTTTCAAGCAATCTGACTCTTATGTGTTCTGTGAGTGATTCAATCGCTTCACCGACCCTAACCCTGTCTATAATACTAGACATGTTTTGGTCCTTTCTGGTCGAAACTCTTATCAAGAGTTTTGTGTGCCTACAGGCTGGAGGAGCTGATAACGAATTCGGTACTGTTGAGAGTAATTTACTCAGAAGCTAAGTAGTGATTGACAGTTTAGGTGACTGCAGGTATTTTGTTATGCAAACCTGACCTAATTTTCATTTGTTGACATGGCCTGAATCTGGAGTTTCTTTGGTTTCTTGTTTATGGAAGAAAGTTCCTTCGTGGATGGCGTGTTTTGTTCACCCCTTCTCCATTCTTTATGATACTGGAAATTATTGTGAAGTAGAAAACGTGGCTTTTCTACTTTATGCCAACAGACTACAGATATTATTGTACTGACTTGTAATTTTTGCAGACTTGAGACAATAAATATTTATTGCACTTTAGATAAACATAATTTACTGTTAAGCTGAATATTGTTATTCAGTTATCATTAATTTTAATAAAATACAGTGAATTAATGGGATTTAATCGCTTTTGTTGTTCTATCTGGTGACTTGCGACCTCTGATCCAATACGAACTTGACTGTGTTGTTGTTGATAAAATATGCGCAATATTCAATTGATAAATAATAAGTAACTATTGGGTTTTGAAAAAATATTATTTGATGTTTAACAAAAAACTTCCCTAATCTATGAGACAAGAGACATGAGTGGATAGTGCGACAATTTTAATAATTATTACCACAAAAATTTCTGATATAGGTACCTACTTTTTACCTTTGAATAACTTGAGCATGCAGGAAAAAAATAACTTGATAATTAAACTATAAAAGAACGCAGCAAAATTAAATTATTTCTTTATTATATTATTAGTTTTTGAATAATAACCTTGAAATCCAGCAAAAATACCTGAATTTTTTGAAAATAAATAAATAAAATTTTCACAGCCCTCCAATTCGTCACTTGCCAAAATGAAGACGATGCCTTAGCAGACAACCTTCCAGCAAGTTACGACAACATGGACAAACTCAAGCTTATGATTCAGTACCGCAGAGCGATTAGTGAACTAGAGTCTAAAGTAGAAAAAATTTGCCCCGGCCACGGATACAAAGTTGAGGTGTGTTGTTAGCAAACAAATAAATTTGAAATACGAAAGACATATTCTTTGTTTCAGAATGTAACAATGGAAATGACCAGCTGCGTCGAGCAATTCAAAGAAGACGAAGAAACTATTTGCTCCTTGTCACAAAAGATGTTGGAACGGTGTATGTCTCCATTAGAAGATTTACTGGTCGAATGTATACCATCTCCGTCCAAGGCCATTCCTCCCATGGTAACTAGCATGATGAAGAAGCTCAACAGATACGTTTGCAGAATTAATGGAGAGCACATTTTTGGTAAGAAAGATTCATGCCCTAGAGAAAGAATCCATGAAGCTGTCTTTGTAATATTTGATGCTAGTGGAACAAGGACAGCCAGTAACAACAAACAATTATTCATTTATCACATAATTTTGATGACTTCCTAACATTATTTCAAGCAAAATTGGGTTGTTGAAACATGTTTTCCTTTTAGAATTCGCCAATCCCTGCTTCAAACACATAAATGCGAAAACTCAGAGGTGCATTCTGAGATTCAGCGCCAAACTCGAAGACCGTCAACGCCGTAAAGAGTATCCATCTGCTCAAGACGCTTGCGAGTAAGTATATACCATCAAATAGGTACTTGAATACGATGCTTTTTGAATTTTTAACGGGCTAGTATAAAGCCAGAGTTTAAATTCCTAAATTATGGCCGAGTTTTCAAACTAAGGGAGCTCGGGGCTGCCTGAGCTCTCTCTAGTTCTAGGGTATCAGTTTAGAACAGTTTTTAAACGTTTACCTACAAGAAACTCGAAATGTCAACAAGAGTTTTCATTTGCCATCAGTAGTTTCAAATTATTGACGATCCAAACGGGTGATAGATTTTAAAACTTCGCCGCATTCAATTATTGTATTGTTGTTTATTTCCAGGCTCATGGACACTTTCAAACCCTGTTTCCAATCCCATCTGAACACAGCATGCCGTAACCCGATCACCAGAGAAACATTCCTTCAAGCTTTCGACGAAGTGGCGTCCGTTTGCACAGAAATTAAAGTAAACGAAAATATTAGAAACAACGAAATTGAATTAGCCTGAATGGTTAAAATAAATATTACCTACTTTATAAACGTAAAAAAAAAAGTTTTAAGTAAATTGCTTTTAAATAATATAGGTACAGGGTGTTAATGAATAAGGGCTACAAATTTCTAGGGCAGTAGGAAAAAAAAAAAATTAATGAATATGTATACAGGGTGTCCGAAAAGTCAACGATACCACTGAAAAGGCTGGTCCGGAACGTCATCGATAACAGTAGAAAAACTGCTGGAGCAACAAATAAGCATCCAGAAAAACATAATATGACTTTGACCTTGGTAAAAAATCGATGGTTCTGGAGATATGAGATATGTCCCCTTTAAAAAAATTCGTTCATTTGAATCAGAGATTTTTGAGTGTATGAGGGAGGACAAAAATATGTCATACTTCACTTCAAAAAGATTTATCAAATGTTGTGAGCTATTATTTCCAATGTTGATCTATGATCAATACGAAATTTCTATTCTGGATGCTTATGTTGTTTCACCAGTCCTTCTAGTGTTATCGATGACTTTCCGGACACATACACATTGAATATTTTGTGTCGTTTTTTGTTTCCGGATCCATGCTTTGTTTAAACTTTTTTTTGTTTCGACGAGTTTTATATCTGCTCTAGAAGTTCATAACCCTTAAGCACGTCGGGATTTCGTTGGCATTTGCGTTTGCGTCGAGTTCGCCGTAACCAATTGAATATTAGGAATTCCATAAGATCGTTTATATTTGCCAACGGCTCACCGTCCGCCGTCAGGCCTACCGTTTCATTCCGTAAGATATAAACCAATTTTATGTTTTCCTATACAATATGAAGAAAAACCCCAAGTCGTGGTCTCAAAATTTTAATGAAAAGTTTACATGTCTCGCATAATAATGGGCATCATCAGACCTATAAAAAGAAAACCTCTTACACTTAGAACAAAGATAGTACAGAAAAGTTTGTGAGGCTTTCGCGGCCCAGTTTTATTGATGAAGTATTTTCATCCGGGCTTATTGGCCGTCTTAAGTTGGTATTTCTTCCTTCTTCTGGCCTTGCCCACCGGCTCCGAAACACTTGCGCATGTGGTCCTTATACTTGGAATTGCAGTTTAGGCTTGGTGTGCGGTTTTTGGCTTTCCTAGCTTGCCCTTGTCGGCTTAAAACGTCAACGCCAACACTTATTTTTTATTTTTTAAAGTTTTATTATAAAGATGTATTGAAGTGTTAGTCCAAGAGCCCATAGAGCCTCCAGACACAACTTATTTTCTAAAGGACAGAATATGTGGGATTGAGTAGCACTTATATGTATTATGAACGTATGAATATCCGCTAAGTTGGGTAGACGGCCAATTTACCGACACCAGATCCGGAAGCTGAGAAAAACTTTAGCTTTTATTCTAACGCTTGATTTTTCTACATGTTATTGGGGAGACTATTTCATAACTACGTGTGCTCAGTCAGACCAATCGCACGGGCCAAACATCCCCCCAGACGCAATAATAATTTTTCCGTGAGCGTGAGCGCGAGGGTACTATGCATGCGTTTCAGAGTGGGCGAAATATCTATGTCAACTGATTTCCCCCTCTTAAACTCACAGTCTACTCTAGGCTAGAGTAGAAATGGGATTCGGTTTTTCTCATAGTGGGAAAAACCGTTATTTACAAATAACAGTCAATTGGCCGTCTACCCAACTTATAAGTGCTATTCAATCCCACATATTCTGTCCTTTAGAAAATAAGTTATGTTTGGAGGCTCTGGGCTGTTAAACTATGTATGCGTCTATTGGAAACACTCACTCTGAAAGTTCAGTTGAAGGTATGTGTTTCTGTTCTATTGATAAAGTGTTTTCATTCGGGCTTACTGGGCGTCGTAAGTTGGAATTTCTTCGGATGGAAGAAATTCCAACTTACGACGGCGATTAAGCCCGAATGAAAATACTTTATCGATAAAACTGGGCCGCGAAAGCCTCACAAACTTTTCTGTATTATGATTGTTCTAAGTGTAAGAGGTTTTCTTTTTATAGGTCTGATGATGCCCATTAAAGGGCGAAACATGTAACCTTTTTGTTAAAATTTTGAGACCACGACTCGGGGAGATGAACACCTTCAGGTACAGTGAGGGGAAAGGGGTTCAAAAAAAGAAAATCTTGATGATTTCTTCAAAATTATTCATGATGTAATTTTATTTTTTTTAAACAATTTCACATCACAATTACCTGTTCCACCCGATCAAATAAGATTTTCATCAAAATTAGAGTCACATTTAAATCTGGATAACTTTTTTTTGCAGATCCATTTGAAGAATTAAGCGACCTTTAAAACAAGGTATCACATGACCTATAAACTTTGCCTATAGTGCCATTTAAGATTTTGAGGTTAGGGTGGCTACCGCCGCAGAGGTTGTGCGGGGAGAGCTGAAAAGTACCTTGTTTTGGTTCTCCCTTCCAACCCTCCAAACAGGTTTTTCATTTTTTTTTTATCGATCACCACTTTCAAGATATAGGCCATTGACAGTTTTCGGTGGAACACCCGGTATAATTGAACACAGGTCTCTTTGAGCCATGAACTATTTTTCTGAATTTATATATTCCGTCGCCGATTTGTAGCAGATTTGAAACAGTCAATAAAAAAAAAGGCTTTTACTTGTCACGTGATGTTTACCTCTTGTGGAGAACAGCTGATTATAGAGTATTTTGAATATCCAGAATTTTTAGAAAAACAAAGATGCACGGTAGCACGGTGGCTCTTAATAGTACGAACAAATTAAAAACAAAAAAAAACACACAAAGATTGACATAAACAAAAATAACAGGTTAGGTAAGGTTACGTTTACTTTCAGGACGCAAACGGCAAGTTTCTAAATGCTCGAATTTTTTTGACTACGGTAACGGCGAGTCCGACGCAAACGCAAATGCCAACGAAATCCCGACGGCGAGTTTATAAATTGGGCTTTATTCAAATATATAACCTTCGTAGGTAGACTAATATAACATGCTTCACCTGTAAAGACATATACATAAATAAATAAACAATATGTTATTATTCGTGGGGATGAAGCGAGTGATAAAAAGAAAAACCGACTCTTTTATCTAATGAAGGCTTTCGCAATTAGTTTATTCCTTCGTCAGGAGCGTTTAAAATTTATAAATTTAACTTTATATACTCCTGGACAAAATTATCGCACCACTGCTTATGGTGCTTATGTGCAGTGGTGGTGCGATAATTTTGTCCAGGAGTATATTTATATCCTATAATATATTTTAGTATGACTGACGAAGCAATAAACTAATTGCGAAAGCTTTCATTAAATAGAAGACTCGTTTTTCTATTTATCACTGGCTTCATCTCGACGAATAATAACAGGTCTGTTCCAACACGTCAAAAACTGTCCCATGAACGGTTTCGAAACCACTCAGTATACGAATTTCGGATTCTACGCATAAATTTCAAGCTTTCCGCAGAATCATGACTGTACATTGTACGGTTTCCTGCCGTTTTGGAACTGACCTAACATATTCATATAAAGATTTAAGCCACGATAATACCTTATATTAAATAAACAATTATACAGTAATTACTTTGGAGGTTTATTTTTATTAAGGTTAATTTGTGAAAATTGATATTGAACATCTTCTTCTTCTTGTCTGTTTGTGGCTTTGCTACTAGGCAATTGCCAGCTCCATTTAAATCCTAAAAAAAAATAACAACCTTGTTTATACCAAACAAAAAGCCTGTAAAAGAAAAATCGAAGGACACAGCAGTATATATAATATGTTCATAATTATTACCATAAAAAAGACGTGAGTAGATAAGAAGAGAAAAAAAAAGAAGACATACTCATCGACGTTCAAGTTGCCTGGCTCTAAGCCATTCCGTGACCACCTAGAACTCTTTTTTTTTACCTACTGCTAGCAATCGTAACTGAGTGAGGTTAGAATTAGTATAAACATCACACATGGGTAGAGTGGATTCACATGGTAAGACATAAGACGATGGAATTTCTGGAAAGGATTAAAACTGTTTGTTGAACTTTACAATTTATTTTTATTGAAATTTAGAAACTGAATCAATAGCCTTTCAGCTCTATTAAAAGGGTTTAACAAAATCGAGTAAATAAATAAAGGTGGACGAAACTTCATAGAAACAAACTCCATGTACAGATCCAAGTTGTGAATTTTGGTAATTGGACATTCAAAAAAGATATGATTCAGATCTTCTATTTGCGCACATTCACACAGCGGGCTCTCTCTCATCTCAATTTTTTGCATAAACTCACCGGTCAAACAATGTCCTGGGCGCACTCTGATTATTTTAGTTATGTCTTCAATCCAGGAAAGAAGAGAACTATATTTTATTAGGGAGCACATTTGACACTTTTAAGTAAGTATCGAAAATTTTTAGTATTTACTAGCATCCCCTAATTACTTTTGAATTGTTTCGTTAAATAGTCTTTAATATGGTTATGCACTTCAGTAGCATCTAACTCCATCTTTTTAGGTACCGTTTAAATTCTCCCTATATTAGCAAGAGTATCCGCTTCCTATGGCCGGGGATATCCGAGTGGCCGGGTATCTACGCCAACCTGATATCATACCTACCCGTTACTATTTGCCATTAGTACTAGCCGTTTGGTTCGCAGATACCAGTAATCAGCTTTTGCAATATGAAATTTGCTATTAATTATTTGAATGGCGGTTTTAGAGTCGGACAAGATTATTGCTTTTTCTATGTTTTTTCATTATAGTTGCCACTGCTTCGTGAATAGCTATCACTTCAGCCTTACAAATACTTAATAAATCGTACAATCTGCAAGATAATTTATACTTTAATTGAGGAATGGAGATACCAAATCCTACTCGATTATCTTTCTTAGAGGCGTCCGATTACACTAATATAAATTCCTCCCTAAACTCCATGGCTGCATAGAACTTTTCTTCAATCATAGCTTCACTTCTATCAATTTCACAGTCTACAATATTTAGGGGAAGAAACAAATTCGCATAGCCCACTTCATAACATGGAAGGTTGGGGCCTTTATAGATTGTGTTAAGCTGTGATAAGAAGTATTGTAAAATTTCTACCATATACGGTACCTTTGAATTCTGTTAAAGTATTAAAGGATCTACGATTATCCATCAATATCTCTATTATAGGGTTTTTTTCAATACTCATAATTTTAGTTAGGAAATTTAGTGTTAAAAATTTCCTCCTTTGTTCCAAATCATACATTGAGGCTTTTGACAGCAAGGCAGCTCTTGGAGTAGATATCTACAGCCCAGGCATATTCGTAAGCCCTCATAAAATATCATATCCAGTTCATTCATGAATAACTTGCTCACTGACTCAAGTAATATTGAACCAAAGTCCAGATGCGACACCACCAGCGCTTAAAATACCATTACTAGAGTTTTCAGGGTATTCAAAGCCTGTTTCGCTTTGTTGGTCATGTTTTCTATATGAATATTCCATCGAAGATGTCTATGAAATTGTATCCCCAAATATTTAACCGAATCTTTGTATGCAATCCTGTGATTATTGATAAGGATATCAGGAGGTACGATTTTTCTCTTTGCTTTGGTGAACCAAATTGATTCACATTTTTCCAGTGCCAATGACAGTTCATTGTCCCTGAGACATCTATTTACCCTTTCCATCTTATTAGCCATATTTATAATGTAACTCTAAGTCATCTGCATGGCCAATTATGTTCACACCACCCAAGTTCAATTTGAAAAGGTCCGCCGTATAAACATTAAACAGAATTGTGCTCAGCAGGGATCTCTGGGGCAAACCTGATGTTGCTACCACAGCCTGGAGGAAGGTACCGTCATATATAAAAATCCATTTCTCAGAATTTTATGTAGGTATGAGAATATTCATTTCTATAGGAACATTCGTGTCCTGCATTTAATTGTAAAGTTTGTATAAGTTGACATTGTCATCGGCAGATTTGATGTTTAGAAATACCGCTAAGACCGAATCTGAATAGGAGAAAGAGTTAAAGATATAGGAGGAAAAGTACACCGCATTATCGTAAATGCCTTTACCCTTACGAAAGCCCAGTTGTTCATTTGTAAAAAAATGTTGAATACCTAGCAAGCGATTTTTAATCATTATCTCTAGGGTTTTACATCCACATGATGCTGAAACTATGGGTCTATAATTCTCTGGTAAAGATGGGTCCCTTTTTGGCTTAGGAAAGGCTACAATATTAGATTTTTTCCATGCAGCAGGAATTGTGTTCCTCAACAATAAACCCACAACACAATAAACTCCAATTCGTTTATGGTAAAGAGTTTAATGTTAGAATTTACATTCGGTGGCAACATTTGAAAACTGGGGTCAAAATCAGTTTTCACCATTTTTCCAAGTATGGCTTTTTTCAAATTATCATTAATCATCACTTCTCCAGCGTTATTATTAGATTTATTTGAATTTTTTTTAATTTTGTTCCAAACATAAGTTATATTGGATTCTCTATTTATTGAATGACAAAATATTATGATTTTTTCTCTTTTTTGCTATTTAATTTTCTTTAAGTAAGAGCCATAACTCTTTCGACATCATTGTAGTTGTTTAATGTTGGGTACGTATTAAAATAATGTATAGTGTTTCTCCTTTCTTTTGCGTCCATTCTGTACATTCTTCGCCTCACCAAGGGTTCCTTGCAATTCCTGTAATTCCACGTCTTTTTTTCGGCATGGCTTCTAGAGCCGCTAAATCGATGATATTGATAAGATTATTATAATTCTGAATATTTTCAAAAAGTTGCCAATCGGCTTTTTTAAAATTCCTGAGATAGTAGTGTTGGATAAACTGATATTCATATCAGTGAAACAAAAATTAATAAATTAAACTTTGATTATTAGCCTATACTTTGCTAATTTATATCGCAGCTATGGATGACTGAATGTGTTTATAATAGTTTTTATATGTAAGATAAACAGATGAGGAATCGTTTACTTAAGAAAGGGTTTGTAATTCTTTGTCTTGATGTTGAGTCAGTTCGTATAGTTAGTTCTATGAGTTCACACGTTCTGCTTTCCACGTTGTGTTCGATATAATAAATATATTGAATATCGATAATTAATTAACAAGTTCTTTTATTTCTCAGTCCATTTCCCAATAAGTAGGACCAGTTTTTCCAGAATGTATTGTTTGGTTCATTAGAGCAGGGATGTTGGGTAGTGGTCGCTATTCCCACAATCATTGATACGCTTCCATGAGGATTTGAGAGCTAATTGACTGCTGACAAATTGTTGAATCTACCGCATTTATTTTGTTATTAGTCTTTTGAAGTAAGGTATTAATTCCGTCATTCATAATTATCAGGTCATTCTTCAAAACAAAATCAATATTATTATGTCCTCCTTTATTAGTGGGAGAATTGTCCCATAGAGGGTGGTGAGAATTGAGATCTCCCATAATAATAATTTTCTGACCTACAATGTCTTCAAACATGGAGTCTAGAAAATTTACCTCGAACGCTGAATGTGTATTACAGTATACGTGGATCAAATTTGAATCACCTATCTTAATATTTATATATTGAATCATCATCATCATCATAAGCAGCCCAGTCGCAGCATCCACTCCTGAACATAGGCGCCCCCTTCCAATTTCCGTCTTGTGCACAGTCTTGTGCAATGTTGCCATCCTCTCCCCGCCCTCCGGTAAATGTCATCCATCCACCTCTTTTGAGGATTCCCTTTGCCGCGTTTGTGTGTTGTTGGTCTCCACTGCATGACTATTTTTGTCCATCTGTTGTTCGGTTGCCTCGCCACTTGACCTGCCCATCTCCACTTTGCCTCTACTATGCATTGGATCACATCGTTCACACCCGTGCGTCGACGTATGTCGTAGTTGTTTATTTTGTCTCTCAGACTAATGCATTGCCCGTTCTATGCCCCTCTGAGTAATTTTAAGTTTGTTTACACTTTCTATGGTTAATGTCATGGCTTTCAGGTCGCACGTCAGTACAGGGGGTATGCACACGTCTGCACTTTTCTTTTTATGTTTACAGGAATATCTGGATTTTACAGGATAAAGCGCAACCTTCCAAATGCTGCCCAGGTCATGCTCACTCTTCTGGTAATTTCAGCCTTTTGGTTCTCTTTCCCAAGCTTGATCTGGTGCCTCAGATAGACGTATTCGTTCACTCTTTCTATTTCTTGGCCTTCGATGGTAAGTAGGTTTGCCCCACTTAAAGTCATAAATTTGGTTTTTGCGGTGTTCATCTCTAGTCCCACCTACTGCTATGCTTGCTTCAGTTGCTGTATCAATTCTTTTAGTTCATCGAGTGTTTCGGTCGTCATTTTAAATGGGAAGGTGGAAGGTACTATATGGTCGTCTTTCTGGAGTTGACCATGAAGTTTGCTTCCTGTACCGGGTGAGTCGTCATATTTTGACACCCACCTGCAGCCGTAATTACAGGTGATAGGTAGAAGGCGTAAATACAAGAGTTGTAGCATTTTATCTGAACCGCCAGAATTTTTGATTAGATTCAACAAATGGGCAACGCAAAGTGAAAAAAAATGGCGATGTTCACTATTTTTAAATGGAATGCCCTTTATTTTT